TTGGCAAAACTGTTTTCTACCCTTCTGTTGACAATAAGGCTACATCTACTCAATCCAATGAAGTACCAGTGAAAGTAAATTTGATTACTCATCCTGACTCTTCTTGGAAAATGTCAAAATCAGCTTCAAGAAGAGAGTGTCATCAGTGTAATGTTGAACCAGTTATTCCAACACAAAACAGATTCAGTATCTTTCAAGAAAATTCCACGCACCAGGACTCCCTTGTTATGAGTAACAACTGTGAGGATGCTGAAAATAACTACAAGCGCTCAAGTTGCGACAAAAGGACTAACTCAAGACCTACAAGTAAAAAGAAACAAATAAACTATGAATCAACAAATGTTTCTAAGCAAAGAATCAAAATAACTGTCTGTTCAGATAGTCAAGGTAGCGGTATTGCTAGCAAGGTTGAATCTTTTAGTCGGGGTAATATCTGTGCCTTTGGTTATGTCAGAGCGAATGCAACTTTGTTGCAAGTTGTTGACTCCACCACAATTGAGGAACAAACGCCAGTCGTAATCATCGGGGGAACTAATGACAGCCTTGATTTTAGCTTAAATAATATTTACTCGAAACTAGAATCAAAATTAAAACATTTAAGCAAATTACGACCAACATTCATCACTACAATTCCTACCAGGTATGATAAACCATCTTATGACAAAACCACCTCAGATTTAATCCATGCTAATTGTTATATAAGGGAACTGGTGTCAAGAATTGAAAACACATATTTAATTGACCTGAGTGAGCTAAAGCGTTTTCACTACACCAGACATGGCCTCCACCTGAGTAACAGTGGTAGAAAAAAGGTAGCCCGCATGATTATTAGTTCTGTGACAAAATGGACCCTCAACGCTCTGCCATCGACTTCAAATACTGATTATACACCTGTTCCGGATATCAAAGAAACGCCTCTTTCCATTTTTGCAGAAGACCAGCTAAATCAATACAATATTACTAATAAAATTTCTATAATTGATGCCAATATGAAAGATGTCATTAATATTTACAAAACTAATGATAAAGTAGCTTTCGGACACTGCATTTCTGCCGATTTCACCTGCAATAAACAAATGAGTCAAGGTGTGGCAGTCAGCTTTAAGGACATTTTTGGAAAACCGACAAGTTCTGATTATTGCAATAAATATTTAACATGCCAAGAACAACAAAATGAAGCAGTAATTTACAGTCTAGTAACTAAGCCCCGATACTACAATAAACCCTATCCTGAAATTTACAATTTGGCTTTTCAAAATCTAACTGATAGTTTTAAAAAAAGAGATTTCCACACTTTCATTTGCTCTCCACTCGGCTGTGTTAGGGACCGTATACTTCCACGTCACTTTGCGGCAGAAATAACTAAGTTTCAGCGCAGTACTGGTGCCTTTGTTAAAATTGTAGCTCATAATGAAACATCGAAAAATAATCTTAGAAATGGTTTATCATTCCCTGAATTTCGGACACAAATAGTAGATGCCATAAAATTGGAAGCAACTAGGACTCCACCTACCCAGCAAAGCAACTCAGAAAATTCATCTTTATTTCCACAAGTTCCAGCCTTTCCTCAACCTGATGGCAACAATGGTGATCCTGCAACTTCCAACAGCAGCCGTGACATGCAGCCTGCTCCAAAGTCTCCCAGATCTCCAAAAGTGTGTGGCAAGGGGGGTAATAAAGTCAATTTGGGGAATAGTGCAGTGTCAAGTGAAATGTACGAAGAAAATGAAGCTCAAGGGCCAGAAAAACCTTTTTTAGCTTTAAGTCAGGAAAATGTAATAATAAAATAGGTAAAGTGAATAATTTTAGTATTTTACATCAAAACATTAGAGGAATCCAGTCTTCACTTGATTCATTGGAGATCACTCTAGATGAGTTGAACCCTAGTATTGTTGTATTGTCAGAGCACAAAATGGTGAGTCCATCGTTGGAGAGACTCAATATTGATGGGTACAATGTTAGTGCTTGTTTTGGCCGTAAAAAAAGTAGGGGGGGTGGGGTCATTGTTTTAACAAAGCCGTACCTTAACTGCAAAGAAATATTAATACCCGAAATTCAAAATCTTATTTCAGAAACAATTTTTGAAATTTGTTTAGTAGAAATTCAAAAAGTTTTGTTTAAAAAAAAGTTACTTATAATTGGCTGTTATAGAAATCCCATAAAACAAAACGAATCAGAATTTATTGAAAGATTAAATACCATGCTTGAAATTCTAAGTTCAAAATTTAAACATATAATTTTTGTTGGTGATATAAACATTGATATGTTGGATAAAAATTACAATAATAGAAATAGATTATTGCATATTGTAAAAGCTAATGGATTTAAGTCATTAATTGATTTTCCCACCAGAATCACTGAATCAACTCAAACCGCAATTGATAATATTTTTACCAATTTAGAAAGCAATTATTACAGAGTCATAGGAATTAACACTCAACTCTCAGACCATGATGGTCAAATTCTTGAAATTATCAATAATAGTGAAGCCACCAAATTAAATATTGGTTCAAAGGTCCATTTTGAGTATAAGAGGAAATTTAGCGATGCAAATATTAATCAATTTATTAGGGCACTGGAATTTGAATCATGGGCAAACCTTTACTCATCACCGGTTGAAAGAAAGTATGATACATTTCATCACATTTTTATGTATCATTTTGATAATTGTTTTCCTGAGACTTTGATAAGACAACATTCTAACAAAAAATGGATCTCTAATGAATTGAAGTTAGAAAAACAAAATATAACTAATTTCAGCAAATTGGCTAGAGAAGTTAATTGTAAAAAAATGTTTAAAAAAACTAGGGAAATGAACAAAAATTTCAGAAAACGATTGTACACTGCAAAGAAAAATTACTATAAATCTGTTATTAATAATTCAAATAATGTAAATAAAACCACTTGGAAGATTATCAACTCAGAAGTAGGAAATAAAGCAAAGGATATACAAAACATAATTTTAAAATCAAATGACATTGTATGTACTGAGCCTTCTTTGGTTTGTAACCAATTTAATAATTATTTTGCAGATTTAATTGAGGACACTTCAATATGTAGTATGGAGCAAACTCAAGTTGAGACAGAAAATAGTTCAGAAAATGATCTGTTGTTAATTAGTACTAACAATTTTAAATTTAGCTTTGTTGATGAGAAAGAAATTGATTACATTTTAAACCACCTAAAAAATTCTTTTAGTACAGGATATGATGGTATTCCTGTGGTACTCCTAAAAAAAGCAAGATTCGTATTACTTAAACCAATCACTCACATCATTAACTCTTCATTAATTTCTGGTATTTTTCCTGATAAACTTAAATTAGCAAAATTAAAACCGCTTTTCAAAAAAGGGGACAAGTACTTAGTTTCAAACTACAGACCAATAGCATTGCTTCCCGCTATTTCTAAAGTTTATGAAAAAGTAATCTATAATCAACTAGTAAATTTTTTTGAAAAGAATTGCCTTTTTGAAGAATGTCAACATGGTTTCCGCAGTGGTAGATCTGTAATAACAGCTGCCACAAAGTTTGTTGAATCTATTATTGATAGTTTGGACAGTAAATTGAAAGTGGTAGGATTATTTATGGATTTAAGTAAAGCCTTTGATTCAATATCACATGACCTTTTACTTTCAAAGCTAAGCAAATTAGGGATAAAGAACAATGCATTAAAGTTACTGAAGTCTTACCTTTCCAACAGAAAACAGTTTGTAGAATTAATTCACCAAAACAACAAAAACTATAAAATTCATTACCGATCCTCTATTAGAGATGTGAAATTTGGAGTGCCTCAGGGGTCCATCTTAGGCCCTTTATTATTCATTTGTTACTTTAGAGACTTTCCCCAACTCAGTGACTTGAGTGAACTTTGCCTATATGCCGATGATACTAATTTGAAAATCACTGCAAAATCAAATGATGAAATTGAACTTAAGGCAAATTCCGATATAGCAGTTTTAAATAATTTTTTTAATTCGAATAATTTGCTTCTTAATCCAGATAAGACAAATTTCATTAGTTTTCAAACTCGAGAATTAGGTGATCAAAATAAACCAATCATCAGACTCGAGAACACAGAAATTCTAAGTATGGACAACATGAAATTCTTGGGATTGGTAATTGATAAAAATCTGAAATGGAACAGTCACGTTGAAAAGTTACTTGCCAAAATCACATCGGGATTATTTGCTTTATCTAGATTGAAACCCTTTTGTGAAAAACAAACTTTAAAAGTTATATATTTTTCATATATCCACTCAAGTATATCTTTTGGGATTTCACTTTATGGTGCAACTAGTGATTACAATTTGAATTCTATTCTAAAAAAGCAAATGAAAGCTATTAGAATTATCTGCAATTTAGATTTTGAAACTTCTGTTAATAAAGAACATTTTAAATCGGAAAATATAATGACAATTTACGGAATGTACGTTTATGAAACAATTTTATCAGTAAAGGACAGACTTCATGATTTGGAACGAGTTGGGGATAGTCATAATTATTTCACCAGAAATCGGGAAAACCTTGCAATTGGCCACCATAGTCTAAAATTTTTTGAGAAAAAACCCATGTATGCGGGATCAAAATTTTATAATAATCTCCCAATTGAAATTAAATCAGAGACTTCCAAAACAATATTTAAAAATAAATTAAAGAGATTTCTCATCAGCAAGGCTATTTTTTCTTTTGAAGAGTTGAATAGTCTTTGAAGTCAAAAACAAATTCAATTTATGTATTTTTTTGTTTAGACTTAAAAAAAAAATTAAGTTTGTAAAATTTTGTTTTTATTTTATTATGTTAGAAATGTATTTCATAACTATTAGGCCTAAACAACTTTTGACACTATTCAATGTATTATGTACAGGAAATGAATAAAGTGGTTTTGAATTGAATTGAATTGAATTGAATAAAGTTAGCCTACCTTATCCAAGAACTTATAAGGTACCCCAGAACTCTGTGGGACAAAATTAATATGCATATAATGTATTTTTTACATGACAGGTGGCCCCAAGCTTCATCTCTATGTTGACATGAGGCACCGTCAGCTCGGGTCTGTGTTTCACGAGACCTTGGGTCCAGTCAGTGCTGTGTTCATCTCTGATCCGACTGACATGAGGAGGGCTTTCGCCAGTGAAGGCAAATACCCCATACATCTGCTGCCTGACGCTTGGGTTCTGTACAACAAACTCTATGACAAGGAAAGAGGTCTGTTTTTCATGTAAGTTTGGCATGGTGTTTTTATAATCTAAGTAATTACCTTATGAATCTTAGTTAGTTGAGGAAAGTTTTTCTTACACTTTCTTTTGTGCCCTTATAAATAAATTACTCAAGAACTACTAGCAGCCTGTGTCACTTCGTTACTTCAAAATCCGTGATATATTTGATATATATATAGTTGATAAGGGCGAAAACGATTATTTCTCATCATATCCCTATTGCATTGCTATTGATTTGCATTGCGTGCCCTATTATTTTCATTGCGTGCGCGATCTCTTCGAGGCGTCTTAGTAAAATTACAAATAATAATGAAACATAAACTATGAAAATACTAAATCTCTTCTTTACATTTTAAACAAATAACATTACAATATTTTACTGAAATTCCCTACATCAATAAAACATACTATGAAAACACAAAATCCTATCACAACTCCAAATCCAACGTAAGTTATTTTCTTCTTTACATTTCATACAAATTTAATTGCATTACAATATTTTACTTGAATTCACTAAAACATCACCAACTACAGATAACCCCATTTTTGTATGAATGCAAACACAATTGTATTATGGCCATCTGTTTTGATGTAAACAAATGTAAACTTGAAACAGTTCAGATGATTGACAACAGAATTCAGAACAAACTCTTAAATTTTAAAAGCCTATAGGACTAAGGGCTTTCACAAGATATCATTCAAACCAGCAAAAGGCACATCTAGAGGATAAGAGCTTTAAATTGATACCCAATATGCATATACAAATTATTATTTTGGACCGATTTGCTGCACACAAAAATCCAACAAATTCTTTTAATAGTATAGACAAGTGTACATGTTGCTTGAATTCGAGCAATTGTAAAGTATTACAGGAGTTATTTCAAAACGAATAACAGTCATATTTACAATGAGTTTAAAAGAGTCAACTCAAAGATTACCGGTGTGTAACTCTTGGAGATACTCCATATGTATATAACAGTAATCAACATTTCCTGTAAATATCGTATCATATTTCATAACCTGGTATTGCGTTTTAATGTTTCCTACAAACATTTCCTGACTTATAGCCATATAAGGTTGTCCATGTTTATCTTTGTTATTGATAAACCTAAAGCATTCCGGCCGGTTTTCTCCTTCTCAAAATGCCTCGCTATACAGGCAACACAGGACATTGATAGAGGGCCAATTGAGAACAAAAATTTCTTTCTCGTTTTGGGGTAGTGTTAGGGCGCATTTGTAACGTAATAGTTGAGATTGTCCAGGTTCAGGTGCTGACTGTGATGAGTTTTTAAAGCCTATTACGCGACACTGTTCTGTAGCTGCGGTCGTTATCTCGATTACACCTCCTGTCTATGTTTCGTTGTCGGAGGCATTTAAAAGAAAAAACAACAAATAAACAAATTATAGCTACACAAAACAACGATACATGCACAAATTTAAGTTACAATCATGCTAACACGGTCCGTCATAGCGACAAAAAACAACGATAAATACAGAAATTTAAGATAGAACCAAACTACCAAGATCCGTCTTGGGGGTTATGTTTACACAAACTCAAATAGCCTAGTAAATAAATGTACTCAATGTGTTTCATTGAATTGAAAAATAAATAACAGCAATTAAATTATACAGCTGATCAAAATGTAAACAATTATGTTCTTCATAAGGATAACATGGAAAAATAAATAACAGCAATTAAATTATACAGCTGATCAAAATGTAAACAATTATGTTCTTCATAAGGATAACATGGGAACTTTCAAAGCCACTGGGGCAGAGCTCAAGGGACTTTTTCAAAAATGTAAGGCCAGTTTGCAAATCTACACAACACGCTCTTTCCAATGAGACGTCATTACATAAAATCGGTTAAGAAATGGCGGAGGAGTTCAACTGACAAACTTTGTATTCGCGTATTAATTATATAGGTTATTATAATGTTATACATATGGCTGTTATCTATTCTTGTTGTAGGTTTGTTTTGCACATTCACTTGTTATCTCTTGGTGTTTGTATTCTGGGCACGACTAGACTTATCGGTGGGGCAGGATTTTCGTATCGACTAGTTTAAAACCCACTAATTACCGATGGAAATCAGTCCATAACTTTCTCATAAACAAATATTAAAAGGCAGAACTCATAGGTATTGAAACTTTCTCCGTATTAGAACTCTCCCGCGACAAATGCAATACAACAATTTCAGGGATTACTCGTACGTCTATATACGTTTGTAATAGGGGTCTGCGGTACAGAAAATTTAAGGTCGGTACGGTACAATATTTTGTACCTCGGTTCTCGGTACAAAATTGGTACGGTACGCGGCTACCCGTATTTTTGCGGTTTTCTGCTCATAACTGTATTCAAACCATTATTTTTAACTTTAATACATTGACATAACTATGAAAATGGATAGTATCCTACATTCATGGTTTTCTAACAACAATTACTGTACCACACATTATTAAAACAAAACCTTTTACTACTACGAGGATTGTGTCAAGAATAATCACAGTTAAGATAAAGGCTTTAGCCTACCTATTTTACTCTGAGATACTTTGAATAGCCATGATAAAAGTGGTTTTAAAAATATGATAAGAGTTTTTAGGAACAAACATGTTTGAAACATTTATTGACAAGATAATTTAACACAACTGGTAAATTATTTCCAACCAACACAATGTCTAGTTGTTTTTAAATTTTTTTAAAACATATAGGCCTAAAAGCATACAGTAGGCTATGATGACAGTGTAGTTGCCAGCTGTTCACTAGAGGTTATGATGAAGTAATGGCAAAGAGCATATTTTTGTATCAGCTTCAAAACTAGTTATAAGATGGATACAACTCTTGAAAAGTTTTTTTCTGAAACTAAAATTTGGATTATCACAGAGTAAGATTATTGTCTTTTCATTTACAAAGTTATCCACAATATCAATCAAATCAATCATTAGTTTATCTTAGGCTCAATCCAATTTTCTTAGTATATTTTAAAGCTCTCCCAAAGAATCAAAAGACCCCGGCCTAGACCTAATTATTTAGAAGGGCCTATATATAAATTGATTAGGTTACAATGAGGGTAGCAAAATCACTATCTAGTTTATAAGATTTAGATTGCATAATGTACCTTCAACACAACACAAAAATACAGGAAACTAAAAAACATTTTAAACCTTAAACAGCCACATCTAACAATATAAGACAAGATACAGAACATGTAATGACATAATTTGAGACCGAGTAGGCTTGAATAACGAAAACAAAAATTATGTAAACAACAACAACTATGCTTGTGGTTGTGAATAGAAAGATAAAATATCTATAACAAATATTTTAACTTATAAAATAAGATTGTAGATTAGTTACAAGTTTAATATGTAGCCATAAACAGTTTTATGGCAGTAGGCAATGGCCAGCTGCAAATTGAATATCTACGAAAATACTGACTGAGTTAGAGATAACATTTAACAATCATCATAAAACTATTATTTTTATGATAAAATAGAATTGGAGAAAGTCGTAAAGAAATAAAAATGATAAAACTCAACAGTTCTTGGAAGTACTTGAATACAACAATTATTGTCGTGATAAAATGTTGTTGTTGTTGTAAAATGTTGTTGTGATAAATGTGTTGTTGTCGTGGTTTGGAACTGCTAATGGGGTTTTTATTGCATCATCACCCTAGTAATAAATTATGAAGATCGGAAACAAACATCTGATAAGACTTTTATGTGCTCGGAACCAACTGTCGTTGACTACGATAGTAAACTGAAAGTAATTTATTATTATAATTAGGCTGTACCGAACCGAATTTGTACCGTGTCAAATGCTGTACCGAACCGATGACGGTAATTAAGCTTGTACCGTACCGTACCGACTTTTTCGGTGCACCGCAGACCCCTAGTTTGTAATTAGAGAAACGTTTCTTATATTTTCAGGCATGGGCCTGAATGGTTGAAGTACCGTCACATAATGAATAAATTGCTGTTTAAAAATGAAAGAACAAAAGGACAACTGAGGTCATATAAAGTAGCAACTTCAGATTTTGTGAAAGAGTGGAGCAGAATTGGCGCAAGCCCTGTTGAAAATGCTGTTGGGGATTTGTACAATCTGTCCATATCATGTAAGTATCAGTTTTATGAGAAAAAATTCTCAACAACAAGTTTATGCGGATAAATATCCGTATGGTCCAAACATCAAAATTTGATCAATAAAGGCATATAATTTCTATAGTATCTAATTATAGAGGAAACATTTTTAATCTAAGACCAATATTAAAAACAAATTCTATTAGTAATCATAATAATTAAACACATAACATTTAATTTGGTTACTTCTTTTTGTTTTCTTGTAGTCAATATCAAGTATAAGTGTGTTTATCTTTTTAATAAAAATGGATTATGATAATTTAGTCTGGGACAAAGATAGGCTCTTGCCTTGATTAGAGATATTATTTCTCAAAAACTATTCCTGTTATTGAAACAAATTTTATGGCAGAACTCTGCTGTATTTGTTTATCTACTAAAACTTCTGTGTATTAAGTTGAATTAATTCAACTTACACTCTCATTGGTTTACTCATCCTTAATTGCACACAGCAAATACTTATTTAAATCAATTGTTAAACATTCTTTTTAAAATTTACTAGTGCTGTTTACCTATAATTCATCACTTTTCGTATAGATTACTAAAATACCCCCGCCGCAGCAAACCTGCAGACTAAGCGAATTTCCATATGCCTGATTGGATTTACACTAAAATGTCTCCTTAAAAATATCACATTCCTTATTTAAATAGAATCAGTTTAACACATACTTAGGTTTGCTGCAAGAGGGAGGGTAAAAGTGTTTTTTTTTTAATGTAAAATGTTAATAGTCAGTAAGAAATAAAAACATTTTCCAAATTTGGGCAAAATATGTTAATAAACAAGCAAACTACAACAGTTTACTTATTCTCCATAAGAATAATATGGGAATTTTAAATTTAAAATTTTTTGGAATTTTCTCTGTAACCATTAGGTGCATTATAACGCTTCAATATACTAAATTATTTGTTTTTTTAAGCTCTACAAAATAGTTTGGAAAGAAATTGCAAAATTTTATGTATTTTGAGTTAAAAATGGGAAAAACACATTTATACCCCATAAAACCCCCCTTAAACCCCCGTTCCCATGGTCCGATCATGCTGGTTCGCGAACTCGTTCGAATAAACGTAGGCTTCCACGTTTGTACCAAATTTCATCAAAATCGGATCGTCTTTGCTCGAGTTATCGCGCTAACGGACACATATATATATAAATATATATATGAATTTGAACGGATGGTGTTTTTAGCCTCTAGGGACCTCAAAGCGAAAAAAAAAATCGGTCCCGGGTCCAGGTCTTACCATGAGTAGGTACTACAGTAATAGCTTATTCCCTATATGGGAAATTCGCTAAAAGTTAGGTTATCAGAGGACAGAAAGATTTAAAATTTAATTGTAAACTTTTAACTGAAAATAATTTGAAATTTGGTGTTAACAAAAAGGTGTTTTTAACAGTTTTTTTTATATTCTCGTCTCGAAAAAATCTCGTTCAAAACAAAATCTAGTCTTGTGGAACAAGATTTTAAATTTCCCGAAATTTCAAAACCCGTCCATCCCTACTGTCAAATCAATCATTGCAAAGACATGAAAATGATACGTATATTTAACTGTCTCAATTACATACAGTAACTTCAACCCCCCCTTCTAAAGACCCTTCTGGTAATTATTTAGGTGTGACCGACAGAGGGTTAGCCTTGATCTAGGGACTGAGACCCCTAGATCAAGACCCCTAGATAGTGGGATTTTGCTAGAGTGAAGTGAAGAGTTGCTAAACTATGTTTACAAAATTATTTTATAAAAAAAATTGCATAGGCACGATGAGTTTGAAATATAAGTCATTGCTTGTTAAACACCCAAGGTCCGTTCACGGATTCACATATTTAACTAGCTAATTTTCCTAGCCTATACTGGCATGCCCACATTTATAGTTCAGAAGTGAGCATGTATTTACTTGACACATTTTCTTATGTATCAGATGTGATTGCCACCCTTCTTGGATCATCCTATCCTGAACATCGAGATAAGCTGAAATCAGAAGTAAATCAACTTTCAACTATAGTTTACAGTATATTTGAAGAAAGCGCAAAACTAAATCTACTTCCAGCCAAGATCGCTGCAACATTTAAGTTACCAGTCTGGCAAAGATTTGTCTCTTCTGTTAGTACAACTTTAACATCAGGTTAGTTTCAGGTTTGTAGCCTACTCAGGTAGGATTGAATCCTTAACACAAAATTGTAACCGAGCACACAGAAATTTTATTACACTAAAAAAACAAGAAATAGCCTTACCTTCATGAGAGTGTTTAATATAATAAAGTTTATCAAAACTAGTGAAACATTATACACCTTTGCTAGAGAAGCCAAAAATATAGGGCAGATATACCAATATAGTAGAGGAAGGCGGTTATCAGAAAAAACGGGTAGGATTTGGTTCAGTTTGGATATGCAAATCTGACCCGAGCCTGAATTTGATATCCAACACTATCTGTTAGACATCTGATTTATTCAGATAGACTGTGTATTTTTATAGAGGTGTGCGGATAGTGAAATTTCATTTCAGATCGGATGGTTGAGGCTCAGTTCGGATCGGATCGGATATTGGGAGGTTCGGATTTGGATATTTTCAGATTCGGATAGTTTGGAGCGGTTAATAATAAGCTGCATATGTATTTTTAACCTATTAAACACTGTTAAGCTGTGTAAATAAACTTAGATGACGATTTGAAATTATAGAATTTCAAATTAATATTTAACAGTTAATTCCACAGTTTTTTCTCTCTTGAAAATCACAATTCACACATCTATTTTCAAAAGTTGGTGGCTTGAATTAAGTACACTAGCAGCCAAAATCTTCACACAACACTTTAGCTCAGCAGGACTGATGTCAAACGTTTGGGCTTGTTTACTGGAGGTTATGTTTTATGTTGTATGTTGTTTCCTGGTTCTCACAAGACAAGGAGTTCTATCTCAAGTTTATTTTCACATTGTATTTCCATAAGTTTTTGGAACGGATTATTGGCCTTAAGTGGCATTCTACGTGTTTGCCAAGTTTAGAAAACATCACTAATGCACTAAGCTGGGCTCTAGCTCACGATTTGATGTTGCAGCAAGTTAATTAGAGCAATCAGGCTTTATAACTCTGTAAAAGGTGTGTATTCCTGAATTTATAAATTTCATTCTACAATTATTCACTGCCAAACATAATTCAGTAGAACCTTGATGAACCGAGAATTACACTACCCTACATAACTTCATTACCCCAAGTAAAATACCAAGATAATTTTTAAAATTGTATTTAAATAGTATAATCTTAGTTTGTTAAAAATGGATTGTATGTTTAACAATTGCAGTCCATTATTGTTATGCAGTATGGTCCAAAATTATTGTTTTTGATTTTGAAACATCACAGTTCATTTGACAAAATTAAAGTTGAAGCAGCCCAAGGTCAAGTCACCCTTGTGCAATACAATAGTTTTTTACAAGCTTTCTCCAGACCACTGGGGAGGGTCGGGTCTGATAAGCCGTCTATTGTCCACCCCCAAGGCGGTTCAATCCTCATTAGTGCCGCTCGGCTGCACTCAGTGGGGGACCCAATACCACAAATCAATTTTTAAAATGAATAAAAATATTTAGCAATAATTGTTTTATTGATATCACCATGAAATTTCGATAAATTTGGTGTAAAATTTGACAAAAATCGGCCAATTTTACCGATTATTAATACAGTACCAATAAAGTACTTTGGTAATTAAATAATAGGTAAAAATTAACCGATTTTCGTTAAGTTTTACTCCCTGTTGTGCGCTATGTCACAAAAGCTAAATGAGTGATTAGTAACCATGGCAACTTGTTGAATGCGTGATGAAGGGAAACCCAAGAAATAGAAGAACAAAGAGAAAGAATAATGATGTTATCTTTATACCCTATTTACAATTGCTGTTATTATTATTATATTTATGTAAGATTTTATGATTTTGTTTTATAGGTTTATAAAATAATTCTTTTTAACAAGGGAATATCAATTTATAATTTATCAACGTGCTTCTCTTCTGAAACAGCAATACTGGATGCATAATAAAGGCAATGACCTAAAACATCATGATTGTGCAATATTGTATTTTGATGTTGAAATTCAAATCATGACAAAAGTTTGTATATTTCCCCTGGTCCCTGTCATTATTTAATAATTTAATATACACAATTAATGCTAAATAATCGTGGTTAGTTCTAATTTTATTTTTGATTATTCAAAGTTTCTACACAATAAGACAATCCAAAGTCAAACCGGGCAATGAATACCCGAAAAACAACGTATCTTGTCCTGTGATTGGAATACCACTCGCCAGTCCTTTAGGTTTAGGGAAGTAGTGCTAGTCTATATAGCTTCAAGGTCGTACCCACCCCTTCCTCCCTCCCGTCCTACTCGACTCACAGTTGCTACCTGCGCTCCTTTCGAGGTCATTGCCCAACCCCTCCCACCCTTCTATTGTGTTACCTTTCTATTGTTTCTATTCTGACTTTTTTTCGGGAAACATTAAATCTTTTGTTTACGTAACAGCACAGATGTAGGCTAGATTTTTCTACTTTAAAACAGTACTGTAAAAAAAAAAATATTACGCAGCGCCCCTAGTATCAGGAGACAAGCACGAGTTGACTTTCATTTGACCATGGTAGTTCTTTTCTGCTTTATGTCTGTTCGGTCCAGATGAATCTAATCGTAAAGCAAAAAAAGCCGATAACGAATAAACTAGATATCGGTATTGCATCATACGGCTTCTTTGTCATTTGCTGTTACGTCGTTGGGAACTTATTGCTGTAATTTTGTCCTGGGAAACTAATAATGATGGTTATGAAGATTTAGTTTTCTGTCTAAAACGTCAAAATATGTTGTCTATCCGAAAAAGTCGGATATGTAACGGATAGTGTCGGATATCAAATTTGGGCTCGGTTCGGATACGAATATCCAAACTGAACCGAATCCGATCCGATTTTTCGTATATCCGCACACCTCTAGTATTTTACTTTACTAATATAATGGCTTAAATACCTTCAGTCTCCAGTTCAAAATAAGTCAGTTATTACTAATAGTTAATATAATAAATAGCCCAGAAATATAATGGAAAACGTTTTTATACTGAACAAATTATTGATACATCTTTTTAACAATTACACCAAACCAAACCATAACATACAAAAGGTAAACAAGACAATTAACATTTGATCAGGTGATGATGTACAGACAAGATGAGAAATATTACTTCTCTAACACCACCCCTTAATGTTTATCAACTTGATCCAGTACGATTAATTGCACTAACTCTTGATGCATTGGGCCATGAACACCTTTTGTCTTGTTTTCTTGACATAACAAAGTTTTCAGGCTGTTGAATATATAGGGCTTCTTTCTGCTGTCTGTTAAAAAAAAAACAGTTGACAAATCCAAATGATGAATTGGTGTACGATCATGAACCACATTATACGCTTGAAATGGTCCAATGTCCTTTGGTTTCCGTTGTCTCTGTGGATACCTTCTCACCTCTGGTTCTGCTTCATGATCATCTGTTGTATACATCTCTTCTAAACTTAATTCTCTGTTTTCTTTGTTAGGTTCTGATATTGTGTAATCTGTTATATACATGTCCTCTTTTAGATTTGATATATCCTCAGCTAGGTCATCATTAACATCATTCTCAGTTATGGCTCTACTCTCTGAGTCATCATTTGATAGACCTAAAATCTTATATGATTTGTTATCTCTCACTTCTCCCCCTTCAACTGGTTTTTCCTCTAAGAACACAACATCTCTAGATATGATTATCTTAGAGGGATATCTTGGATCAACAAGTCTGTAGGCTTTAGAGTTTTGGCAATAACCAACAAAAAACAACTCACGACTTTTGGGATCGAGCTTCTTTCTTTGTCCACTTGGCACGTGAGCAAAAGCTTTGCAACCAAAAACTCGCAAATGCCTAATATCAAACTTCTTGTTGGTCCACACCTCTTCCGGTGTTCTCCCAAAAACAGCTTTAGTAGGAGACCGATTCTTCAAATAAATTACGGTATTAGCTGCTTCAGCCCAATACTTTTTGTCCAACCCAGAATCATGCAGCAGAGAACGAGTCTTCTAAAAAATTGTATGATTTTCCCTCTCAGCAACGCCATTTTGAGATGGTGAGTATGGAGCAGTTGTTTGATGTTGTACTCCAGAAGCTTTAAGAAAATCTTCTAGCTCTTTGTTCACAAATTCACCTCCATTATCAGTACGTAGTTTCTTCAATCTCTTCCCGGTCTCATTTTCTACAAGCAATTTCCATTCTTTAATTTTGGAAACAACTTCATTCTTTTGCTTCAAAAAGTAGCCGAATGTTTTTCTTGAAAAATCATCAGTGAGAGTTAGTAAGTATTGAGCTCCTCCATGCGAACTAACATTCACTGGGCCGCATAAGTCGGAATGCACTAATCCTAAAATTTCTGCATCACGAGTTCCCTTCTTCTTTTTAGAACAAGGAGTTTTAGTTTGCCTACCTTGTATGCAAGAAATACAGGGTGAACCTTGACCAGAATATGACATACCAGTTGACATTTTGTTCTTCAATAATTTCATGGATTTCCGACTTAAATGAGCAAGACGACGGTGCCATAACTCTTCTGTGTCTTTACTATTTCCAGCAAAGTTACTTGACATTTGGTTATCAGGATCAATGTCCAACTTGTAAAGATCATCTACATTTGTGGCATGAGCTACAGGCTGACCTGATACATTACAGTCCTCCTGTTTGTATACATCACACCCGTCTTCAGAAAAAAACCATTGTTAGACCTTTATTTACCATTTGACTAACAGAAAGCAATTTTAAACTTAAATTAGGTACATGGACAACATCAGTAATTTTTCTCTCAACAGACTCTATCATGACTGTTGCTTCTCCTTGACCTTCACATTTCAGCTTTTCATTGTTCGCCACAATGACATCCATACCAGTTCTTCTATACTTTTGGTATTTTTGAAGTGAATTTCTCTGACCTGTCATGTGATTCGTACAAGCTGAATCAAGATACCAGCAATCAGCACTAGTTTTGGCTGCTAATGCCGATAGAACACACCAGTCACTGCTTTCATTACTGTTATTTGATATCTGATTAGCAAGTTTGTTCGGATTAGTACCCTTCCTGAATTTAGAAGAATTTTTAAAACAATCTGATGCGTTATGACCATGTTTGTGGCATCGATAACACATCACTTCAGAACGTTTAGTGTTCTGTTTTGTAGCTAATGCATTTCTATTTGAAATGTTATGACTAGAACTGACAGATTTTAAATCTTCTTGAAGTAATTTAGACTTGACTAGTTCAACTGTTAATTTGGTTCCTGAGTTTTCCAATGCCATAACCAAAATTCATAATGACTAGGCAAGCCATTCAACATGACTACAGCAAGAAATGCATCTTCAATGGGCTTACTTATGTCTGCTATTTGTTGTGAAACAGACATAATTTTAGTTACATAAGCGTCCATTAAAACAAATTCAGAAAGTTTAGTATTGAATAAAACTCTCAATAAACTTAGTCGTCTAACTAATCCCTTATCCTCAAATGCATTTTTAAGATTGTCCCAAGCCTCTTTTCCAGTTTTTGCATTTCTTACGTGAGGATAACAACAAGGTTTTACAAAGAAACATATTTTAGCAAGTGCTTTTTGATCTTTTTTCTTTTCACTTACCAAACCTTCCATTTGAATTACCTCACTTTCCCTTGTATCATCCGGTTCAATTGTATTCAATATACAGGGTTAGTGAAAAGTGTGGAGACCCCCTGTTATTTTTTTAACAGCCCATACTAGAAAAAACTAAACTCTACACACCATTATGGAATGTTATTAAGTACTTTTTGGGCATAACCGCCACTTGGTGTTCATCCCCAAAATGGGGGATTTTGGGGGAAACTCAAAAATTTCAAATACAAAGACCCATCAAGTGACCGATGGTAAAAGAAAACCAACAACACAAATTAGAGGTCTCTATCTCAATTCAGTAAAAAATGGCAGCCAATTGAAATTCTCATAAGTTCCCAAACCCAAAATGGGGGATTTTGGGGTAAACTCAAAAATTTTAAATGATAAGTCCCATCGAGTGACCCCTCATTTTGAAGGTCATGATAAAAGAAAACTAACAACGCAAACTATAGGTCTCTATCTTAACACAGTAAAATATGGCAGTCGATTGAATATAAAATTGCAAGCTATTACCGATTTCTAAAGATTTCAATCAGCTTCCATTTTTTACTGGATTGAGATAGAAACCTCTAGTTTGCGTTGTTAGTTTTCTTTTACCAGGATCTTCAAAATGAGGGGTCACTTGATGGGGCTTATCATTTAAATCTTTTGAGTTTCCCCCCAAATCCCCCATTTTGGGTTAGGTAAGCAAGTGGATATTAGGCTTAAAAAGTACGTCATAACATGCCAAAAAGGTGTGTAGAGTTTAGTTTTCCTAGTGTGAGCCACTACAAAATTTACAGGGGGTCTCCAGACTTGGAAAACTGCAAGTTAAATTTAACTTCTGAGAATTTCAATTGGCTGCCATTTTTTACTGGATTGAGATAAAGACCTCTAGTTTGCGTTGTTGTTGTTGGTCTTCTTTTACCAGGACCTTCAAAATTAGGGGTCACTCGATGGGTCTTTGTATTTGAAATTTTTAAGTTTCCCCCAAAATCCCCATTTTGGGGATGTACACCAAATGACGGTTATGCCCAAAAAGTACTTCATAAGATGTCATAAAGATGTGCCGAGTTTAGTTTTTCTAGTATGGGCCGTTAAAAAAATAACAGGGGGTCTCCACACTTTTTACTAACCCTGTATATTCGTGCATTAGGGCCATTTTCATTGCAAACTTCCAGTTATTGTAGTTGGAAACTCCTTCAAGCAGTTCAGTTCCTATTTTCATGTCTCTTTCCCCCATTTTAAAAGATACTCCACTATGATGAATAATACCAAAGATAGCAGCAGCAACAAATAGAAGGAAAATTGTTCTGTTGAAAATATCTTACTTTCAGGATTTACAATGACAAAATTTACATTTACAAATTGTAAAAGGCCCATAACCTAATAGTTAATGTAATACATAGCCCAGAAATATAATGGAAAACGTTTTTATACTGAACAAATTATTGATACATATTTTTAACAATTAGGTCAAACCAAACCATAACATACAAAAGGTAAATAAGACAAGATGAGAAATATTACTTCTCTAACAATTGCAACCTAGGTTTTAGCACAACGTCAGGCATTCTAGCCAGAAATGTTCAGTTCATTAGATGTCGTTTAGTCAAAACTATATACAGTTCACAAGACACTAGGGGTCTGCGGTACAGAAAATTTAAGGTCGGTACGGTTCGGTACGGTACAATATTTTGTACCTCGGTTCTCGGTACAAAATCGGTACGGTATGCGGGTACCCGTATTTTTGCGGTTTTCTTCTCAGAACTGTATTTAAACGATTTTTTTAAACTTTAATACATTGACATTACTATGAAAATGGATAGTATCCTACATTCATGGTTTTCTAACAACAATTATTGTACCGTACCACACATTATTAAAAAAAATACCTTTTACTACTACGAGGATTGTGTCAAGAAAAATCACAGTTAAGATAATGGCTTTACCTATTTACTCTGAGATACTTTGAATAGCCATGATAAAGTGGTTTAAAAATAGGATAAGAGTTTTTATGAATAAACATGTTTGAAACATTTATTGACAAGATAATTTCACAAAACTGGTAAATTATTTCCAACCAACACAATGTCTAGTTGTTTTTTTAAATTGTTAAAAACATCTAAAAGCATTCAGTACGAAGACAGTGTAGTTTTGCCAGCTGTTCACAGCAGACGACAATGAAAAATTGGAGGTTATGATGAAGTAATGGCAAAGAGCATCTTTTTTATCAGCTTCAAAACTAAGATAGGTAATAAGATGGATACAACTCTTGCAAAGTTTTTTTATGAAACTAAAATTTGGATTATCACAGAGTAAGATTATTGTCTTTTCATTTACAAAGTTAACATCCACAATATCAATCATATCAATCATTAGTTTATATCTCAGGCTCAATCAAATTTTCTTAGTATATTTTAAAGCTCTTCCAAAGAATCAAAAGACCCAGGCCTAGACCTAATTATTTAGGAGGGCCTATATATAAATTGATTAGGTTACAATGAGGGTAGCAAAATCACTATCTAGTTCATAAGATTTAGATTGCACAAAGTACCTTCAACACAATAAAAAATACAGGAAACTAAAAAACATTTAAGCCTTAAACAGCTACATCTAACAATATAAGACAAGATACAGAACATGCAATGACATAATTTGAGACCGAGTAGGCTTGCATAGTGAAAAAAATATGCAAACAACAACAACTATGCTTGTGGTTTCGTCAATAGAAAGATAAAATATCTATAACAAATATTTTAACTTATAAAATAAGATTGTAGATTAGTTACAAGTTTAATATGTAGCCATAAACAGTTTTATTGCAGTAGGCAATGGCCAGCGGCAAATTGAATATTCACAAAAATACTGAGTTAGAGATAACATTTAACAGTCATCATAAAACTATTATTTTTTTGATAAAACAGAATTGGGGAAAGTCGTAAAGAAATAAAAGTGATAAAACTCAACAGTTCTTGGAAGTACTTGAATAGAACAATTATTGTCGTGATAAAATGTTAATGGATTTTGACTGCTAATGGGTTTTTTATTGCATCATCACCTTCGTAATAAATTATGAAAATTGTAAACAAACATCTGATAAGACTTTTATGTGCTCGGAACCAACTGCCTGGCTACGATAGTAAACTGAAAGTAATTTATTATTATAATAGGCTGTACCGAACCGAATTTGTACCGTGTAAAATGCTGTACCGAACCGATGACGGTAATTAAGATTGTACCGTACCGTACCGACTTTTTTGGTGCACCGCAGACCCCTACAAGACACAAACACAAACAAATACACTAAGGAAGAACAAATACATTTTATAAAATCACCGGCCACGACAGGTGACATCCAAGCCACAACTTGATCAGAATCCCAAGGTGCATATAGCAGTTGAGCACTTGTAGTTGAGTTAACTTGTAGCAACAAAGCTATGCACTTACCGAATGTAATGCTATTACTTGTTTGGCCCTTTATACTTTTTAACCCATGGCCAGTAAAATCATGTAACCATCGGTAGCTTTTGCTGTGACAGGAATATTAATTTAATTCTTATTCATTGCACACTGTTTACTTTTACCCTAGCAAACTATATTCATTGTCCATATTGAAATGTAAGTGTAAAGAAAAATATTATTTTTTTTAACATTTTTTGTTGTTTTGTAGCTGAAAAGCTTGTAAATCAATCATTTCCTCTGGCAGCCGAAGATGGAATCCTGCTCCAAATGGAGAAAGAAGGTATCACACGAGACAAAATAGTCAGCATTGTTGTTGACTTGATTTTAGCAGCAGCCGACACGGTGAGTTTGAAGTAGTGTTTAAGAAAACAAAAGTTGCTCAAAATTTGCCGAACAAGCAGCTTATTTCAGATTACCTTTGGATCGTCCAGACAGAAACTTGAGCTTGTCACCGATTTGTATTAACATAATTTAACTAGTACGCAAGGGAAGTAATTTTTAGTGAATTGTCATTTGCAATTCTTTTGGTTTGGTTTCTGTTGGGAGTTTTGTTTTATTAGTTGTTGGTTTTCAGTTAGTTGTTTTTTTTAGTCTAAAATAGATCAAATTACCACCAGCATGAATTTTAGCCTAAAGGACACCAATGACAATTTTTTAGGTTTATTGTGAGTGATTGTAGGTTTATGTTGTTATAGGAATTATTACTGGTAAAACTTAAAAGTTTCTAAATTTGAACAATATGTATGCTGTAGGAAGATGTTTACATAAATAAATAATTTTACGTTTTTAGCACGGGAAGTGTTGTAGCCATGTTCAAAGTCACTGCACTTCTGCAGAGCATGAATAAGCAGCACCGTTGCTAATCACGAATCAGATGATTACGTACAAACACCAATCGGTCCTTCTAAATCGGTGTCTAAAATCACTATGCAAATATATCCATTGATTACCCATAGGGAAAGAGCTAAGAAGATTTTAAATTGCCTATTTATGAAAAAAATATAATTAGTTGTCATTGTCTTAAGGTTAACAACTTGGTAACTGTAGAATAGTATGATTATAATTTTTTACTTACAAGACAGCTAAACATGTTAGAATAACCTTTAATTACTAGAGCCCAATGAAACATATTAATTTCTGATCCTAAAGGGAAAGTATATTTCCTACAGTTACCTGACAAAGTGGGCTTCCTTGCACTGATTATAAAACGCAGAACTCACAAAAAAGTCAGTTTTTTCTTTTATTCTTGTTTATTGTTAACTGTTGCTTCTTTCCACAATCTTGTTAGGAGTAAAATTTTTTTAATAATGTGTGGTAATTGTTGATTGTTGATGTGTGGTTGGTTACTAATTTATACTATTTTATCAGAGTAATGACAATGTACCAAATAAAAAATAATGGTTTGAATACTTTAATCCTGAAAAGAAATCAGCAAAAATACTGGTAACATTGTAGGCTACTGTACCGAGGCACAAAATAGTGAAAATAATGTATAATACAATACCGACCTTAAAATTTCTGTACCGCAGTCACACATTTTGTTCAAATGGTAAAGCCTAATTTTTAGATGAAAATTAAATGAAATGAAAATACTTTTTTATTGAGGCGAGCATTTGGACCACATGGTCCTTTCTTACACTTAACGTCTTAATTACTAAATATAAACTAAACAATACATTTTTATAAAACTTGTAAAACTATAAACAAAATAATAAGTAAAAACTATAGTTATAAATCTTTGTCCCTAGTATACGCATACACACACACATTCACTCTTTGCCATACCTACGCCTAACGCACGCCATCCCACCAAGCCACAGTCATCCAATCGAGGTAGTACACTTTCAGCGCCGCCGTCAGTCTGGAACGGGATTTTATGCTCCTGAAAGGGAATGGTAGGGAGTTCCAAAGGTGACATGCTGTTACTGTAAATGATCTATTAAAAACTGTTGTCTTATGGTGAGGAGTTAGGAGAGTTGATGAGCCAGAGCGGGTATTTCTTGCACCTCTTCCATTTAAAAATCTAAAATAATTTGGAATGTTGAGATTGATAATGATGACGAATCTTTTATTGTTTTGTTTTAGACTCCTTATACATTGCTGTGGGCTTTGTACCTCCTAGGGCGCAACCCTGAAGTCCAAAATGAAGTAGCTCAGGACATTCTGAAGGGAACAAATGACCCAGAACAATGGCTGAACAATCCATTTGTAAGTAAAAACTGCAAATGTACTAGAGGTATGCTGATATGATAGTGATTTTCCAACACTTCACCGATTATTCCTGTCCTTGGCTTTTCCTTGAATGTGAAACCAACTCTTACTCACATTCACTTCTCGGCTTTGCCTCGCAGATGAAATTTGGTGAAACTTGAGCGTTCACCAGGAAATGCCACATTTGGCATTAGTAATGCTATTAATTCATCATAGCATTTTGAGCCAAAATGAATAATGTGAAATTAAACATGTGAAGGTAGAAATGATTTTTGAAGATTGGTTGCAGAAAGTTCAATAAATTTTAAATGTGTATGGATGGTGAAATTTCAGTTTGGGTCGGATGGGATAGGAAATTGAGAGGTTCAGATTCGGATTGTTTGACATTCAGTTACTAAATAAATCAATATTAAGATTAAGAAGTTGTAATTTACACATTTTTACACACAAAAACTACATAATGAATACTTTGAAATTATGATATTGTAAGTCCTTAGTTAACCTTAGTTCAGTTTTGAAAATTGTAGTTTAAATTCACAGCTTACTAAAACCAAAGAAAACATACTACTATAACCCAGAATGCCAACCACATGGTAAAAAGCATTAAGTGTTTTGAGAGAGCTTTGCCTGTCAATTCGTAGGCAGCGCCACCAGCGTTGCCATGCACTCAGCATAGCAACGCTGGTTGCGCTGCCTACCAATTGAAAGGCAAAGCTCTCTCAAAACACTTAATGCTTTTTACCATGCGGTTGGCATTCTGGGTTATAGTAGTATGTTTTCTGTGCTAAAACTTAACAAGAAAATTACCAACATTGTACAACAATAAATCAGTAAATAACAAGAGAGTTGTGTTTACCTTTATGGCTAAAAACCCGACCTTTGACCTTCGATTTTTCCTAAACCAAAATTTAAAAAAATTTGTATTGCTAATAACTTATTGTTAAGGTCCAAATAAAAATATAACATCAAAATAAAAAAATACATAAAATGCTCACATTATTATACGCACAGCCCTTACTCGGGGACAACGTCCAATCGTGAACTAGGGCCTTGCCTAGCTTAGTGCAGAGTCCCGAGTCTACACTTGGTAAAAATGCAGAATGCAGACCAATATTGTAAGAAACAATCAATTCAAACAATGAATGGATTATTAGGCCAATAATCCGCCTCAAAGAAGTAATGGAATATGGTGTGAGTAACATAAACTGATAACGTGAGCATTAGAGGTGTGCGGATAGGATAGTTGTGGCTCAATCGGATCGGATCGGATAGTAATAGGTTCGAATTCGGATATTTTCAGATTCGTATAGTTCGCTGTTATTTAATAAATTAACAGCAAGGTTAATAAGTTAACGTCATTTTATTAGGGATGGACGGGTCCCGAAATTTTGGGAATTTTTCGGGAAAAAAATATTTCCGATTATAGGGACGGGATAACATTTGATTCGGGAATTTTTCGGGACGGGATTTGGTCCGATCGTCGGCGATTTTGCCGCTTTGCGAGTGCCGATAATGCCGCTATTGCGAGCGATAGGTCCGCGAACGCAGGAGACGAAGTCATTTCGATGATTGCGCCGTGACCGCGGAGTCCTACCGACGATCACGCCGTGATCGCGGACTCATACTGACGATCATGCCGTGACCGCGGAGTCATACCGACGATCACGAAGTGACCGCGGATTCCTATCGACGATCATGCCGTGACCGCGGAGTCATGCCGACGATCGTGCCGTGATCGCGAGTCATACCGACGATCATACCGTGACCGAGGAGTCATGCCGACGATCACGACGTGACCGCGGGTTCCTACCGACGATCGCGCCGTGACCGCGGAGTCATGCCGACGATCGTGCCGTGATCGCGAGTCATACCGACGATCACCCCGTGACCGCGGAGTCATACCGACGATGACGCCGTGACCGCGGAGTCATACCGACAATCACGCCGTGACCGCCAGTCATTTCGACCGCAAGTCACAAGTTTCTATAGGTACCTGTAAATTGTTACCCATTTTTTGGTTTGTTTATAGATCAGTGCCACAAACGGTAAAAATTGATTTCGTATGTCTTTTTTGGTAACTGCAATACTCAAGACTTTCTTTTTATGCACAGAAAAAAATCCCGTCCCGTCCCGTCCCGAAAATCGGGAAGGAAATAAAACTCCCGTCCCGTCCCGTCCCGAACTAAAAATTCAATCCCATCCATCCCTACATTTTATATATCGTAACACTGGTATATGGTAAAACTATTTTTTTTTGGAATTTCTTGTTTGATAATTATGAAAAGACTTCTGTTGTTTTAGTGTTAAAACAACAAAAGACTGTAATATTTTTTTTGACATAAATTAATTTCTAAAAATAAAAATGCATGGTACAGTCATAATATTATGTGCAGAGAAATGACTAATACCGCTATCCCTAAACTCTAAACCAAACAAGATTCTTATTGCTCTCTTTTGCCACAAAAAAACTATCTGCTCCAGCACTACCTCCCCACAACATATTAGCAAATAACAAATGTCAATGGAAGAAACTAAAATAAGAAGTTTTCATTAGCTTCTGACACAAGTCTTTCTCAATTAAAAAAAAACCCTAGCCAATCGATTAGCTAAGCTATTGGTATGTTCCTCCCATAGTAGTTTTTGGTCAAGAGTAACACCAAGAAGCTTTACTGACTTAGCCATGTTATATTGTTCAATTTGTCTGAATGTAAATATTATCCTTTCAGTTTTACTCTAATTTATCTTTAAATAGTTAAAATCAAACCACAGATTGGCAGAAACAGAGTTGCTCTATTAATATGGTTTATTACATCATTCAGACAATTCCTGTTTACTAGCACAGATGTGTCGTCCGCATGTAGTATGGTATCACAATCTAAATTAACAGGTAGGTCATTAAAGTGCAATATAAATAACTTACAAAAGCTCTTAACATCCTAAGTGAATCATCAAATCATTTTGAACCTCCATTTTTATTTTTACCTTGCACTTTAATTTGTTTTTGGACTCTAGGGCAGAAAAATTGTACATAGATGAGAGGATATTGACAAAATATTCAAAAGCGGCATTTGTATCGGTCGTTTTAAACAGTTGTTGCCAGTCAAATTGATACAGGTGATTGACAAACATATATAATTTGTTTTCATTCACCTTCCTATAGGACACCTGTTTTATGTAGGGAGAGTCTGTGGAAATTGAGAACTTAAACTTAATAACCTCTACCTCAACATTTACAATGTTGTCATTTTGATACTTATTTACACTGATTGTTTTTATTGTTCATTTTTTACACTGTTTGTTGTTATTGTTATTAGTTTATTCACAATGTTGTCATTTTGATACTTTACTGATTGTTATTATTGTTAATTATTTACACAGGTAGTTGTTATTGTTGTTAATATTTTACAATGTTGTAACTGTTGTAATTTCACCCACATTGTTCATCACCGCCACCATAATTTCTTACGCATATATATTATTATTTTTTTTTTATTTTGTATCTTGTTGCATGTATATCTTATCTCACGTCGAAATAAATAAATAAATAAATAAACCTCATAGTCAGAAATGGCAGTTGCCCGAGATAGCATTAAAAACAATTGTTATCAATATTTGTAACAATGTTATCTATATTGCTATTTTGCCTGGTTAGAATATTATTGACATGATACAAGTTAAATGATTTAAGAATATTAATAAGTGTTACTGTTTCAATTTTTTTACTTTTAAGAAATCTATGTTAACATCTGACCCAAGTACTATACTTCTATTCGGCTTTTTAAAGATATTATAAAAATACATTAAAATCAGGGGTTGGGGTCCTATACAAAGAAATAAATAATACATTTAAGGCATTTACATATATACAACAAGCTTCAAAATGACTAGTAATAGTAAAGTGGATGATGTAGATCAATTCAAAGCCAATATTACTGATTCTCTAACTAAGATAAATGTTCCCCCGTATGGCTCATTCCTGCAGTAGGCAGAAGCTAATTAAAAACCTTCAGGTACATACAACTGTACCTCATCATTTAGTAGCCAGTGCTCATAATACAATATCACAACCAGTTTCATCCAACATGACTGACAGTGCATTAACTTTATTCCTTAATGATTGAATATTTAAATGCATTGTGTTCATCAATACAAGTCATAAGCAAGAGCACTCACATACGGATTAACGAACCCCAGTAAAAATAAAACTATTATTATTTTCTAATTAACATTTTTTAACATAAAAATAAAATAAAATGAGTTAAAACAAACCTACCTACATAACAAAGTAAAGTAAAAATGAGAAATTTAAGGTTATGTTTATTGTGCAGGTAAGACAAATATGTGCAGCTAAAACACAGCAAAACTAGCTTATGCCTATTAGCAAATTTCCCATATAAAAAATAAGCAATAGGGTGGGTTGAAAAAAATCAATATTTTTTTGAGTTGTAATACCTTGGAAAAGTTGATAAATTGTAAGACAAAAACAGGGTAAAAATATTAAAAATATATTCTACCACCCAGTATATATGTTGCAAAAACAATCAAAACTCAAACAAAAAAATAATTGACAAAGACAATACTCTCTTTACATTTACTATGTTAAATTACAGAAAAATCAAATAAAAAAAAAAAAAAAAAAACTGCCTGAACGATTTTGATTAAACTTTGGTATGTTATAGTCCTTTTACTTAAAAAAACTGTACAACCCCCGTTTCTGTAAACATTACAGTTTAAGAGTTATTGCAACTTTAAAATTTAGTATTTTATAGTTTTTTTAACTCCAAAGAAAATGTTAACAACCCCAATTGCTGTTCAAATTACGGTTCACATCACAGTATTGTAACTTTTGTTATTATTCCCCATAGTAAAATCATAGTTTCTTCCACTGCTCCCCCATGAAAGGGTTGTTGACAAGCTAATGGTAGAAAGTATGTGTCAGGTTGCTGATACCGTTTATTTTAATTTCATGATGGGTTAGCCTCTGGATCGTAAATTGCAATATAAAAATGGTTTATTTTACCTTTTTGCGTCGAACGATCCGTGTGTAGTTAGTACAACTACAGCTGTTTCATACCACTAGGGTACATCATCAGGTTGTTGGTAGAACGTTAGATAAAACAGCATTCATTCATAGATGAACTTGTCAAAATAAATATGTCTATATACACATAATACACGAAAAACATTTAAATAACACGAATTTACGAACTTGGCCAAGTAACGAACACACGAGACAGGCGCCGATGGATGTTGCGTCATGACTGCTGTCGTGTGTCCAAGCATCAGCTGTTACCCCTCCCCCCCAACTCCTTTATCAGGACCAGTTTTGTTTTGGTTTAAATGAATGGCAGTATTGTAGATGATATTAGATCTGAATGAAATTTGTTCGTTCAATATATGGTCAGGGTGTTCTTTGGATGCCTTGTATATTTCAAACTCCTCTATTGTGTCCATGTATCTGCCTTTAGTACATAAATGCATAATTTCTAGATTACTATGTATGTCCGTGTAGTTGTGGTTTGCGTTAATTATGTGGTTGGCGAATGCTGATTTCGAGTTCTTTTTGGGAGGGGATCTCCTGATAAAGGAGTTGGGGGGGAGGGGTAACAGCTGATGCTTGGACACACGACAGCAGTCATGACGCAACATCCATCGGCGCCTGTCTCGTGTATTCGTTACTTGGCCAAGTTCGTAAATTCGTGTTATTTAAATGTTTTTTGTGTATTATGTGTATATAGACATATTTATTTTGACAAGTTCATCTATGAATGAATGCTGTTTTATCTAACGTTCTACCAACAACCTGATGATGTACCCTAGTGGTATGAAACAGCTGTAGTTGTACTAACCACACACGGATCGTTCGATGCAAAAAGGTAAAATAAACCATTTTTATATAGTTTATTTTAACAAATATACTCATGAGATACTGAGATAAACTTTTATCATACTCAAAATTTCAAAGATACAGAATTGTTTGGTTTGTTTTTCCTACTGGACACATTTTCATATTGGTGTAGTCATTTATGCTCACATACTTACTACTGGGAATACTTGTATGGTGGCAAATGACATATTTGTATGATTTAAGATTCGAGCTGTGATGCAAGAAACTCTGAGGCTGTATCCTGTAGCTCCGTTCCTTACCAGAGAATTAGCTGTCGACTGTGAGATGAGTGGATACAACATTCCTGCTGGGGTCTGTATATACAAAACAGTCGTAGTGGGCCACAAAAGACAATTCTATAAAATCACTGTAAAACATTATCAACCCAAGAGACAGTGACAGAATTTAAAAATTTCGATCCGCATCTCAAGCTCACGTGGTTGTGTCAAAATGCTGCTAAATTGTTATTTTTTGATTGCGCAGTTTTTGCAGACTCTTCCTAGAATCACAATTACATTACAGGAATAAAAAGCTAGGCTAAAAAATCAACCTCTTGGAGGCCAGTAATAAATTATGCGACTTGAGCTTAGCCTAACCAATCATTTAAACCAACTGTTTTATTTGACCTGACAACATTGTTTTAGACGGGGTGACAATGTCATCTTACATTGGCTTGACTAAAATTCACACCCCCTCCTCAACCCCTAACCTGAAAGTTTCCATTCAGTTTAAGTTGTATTTTTAAAATTGCTTAAAAAGACTATTAGTGATTTTTTACTACCTTTTTACTTTATTAACACGTTCACTGCTAATGACGCACTTGTGCGTCATAAGTATATTAGCAGATATATAATACATGATGTATATAATCTTACTAATATTATAAATGTGAAAGTTTGTGTGTTTGTTTGTTTGTTTGAAGTTCAATCACGCATAAACCACTGGACGGATTGGGCTGAAATTTGGCATGATGATAGCTTACATTCCCGATTAACATATAGGCATATTCTTATCTCAAAAATCCTTTCGGGCTCTGCCCCAGTGGCTCTGTAATTCCCCATGTTAACCTTATGAGTATTCATATTTAAAGGGAATTAAAGAATTTAGTCAGCTGTTTCAACTAAAAAAGTTGGTTCTATGATATGGAAAAGCATTAAAAAGTTATAAGATTTACCAACAGGGTGCAGCACTATATTTTTTTTGCATTTATGAAAACAGCTAATTTGAACTAAGCAGTAACAAAAAACTGTGATTTGCAATGAGAACTGTCAAATTAGGATTGTTTACAGTTATGTATATGTTTTTCATTTCATGAATAATTTGTGATATTTTGCGAATTGATAATTTATTTTTCTCTATTGTTTAGGTAAAATGGTAGAACATTATGGCTATGGTAGATGTGTAATACTATAGAATACTGTAAATTTAAAAAAGCAAATTTTATCAAACTGTGTCCTCCACCCATTGCAATCGCAAAGCTTGAGTATAACTGCAATAAGCATTTTATACTTATATTCCAACCCCGTACGAAGGACGGGTACTCTGCTAGTTACATAATATATTTTAATCCACAATTTATAGTATAAAATTTATTTAATTAAAGATATATTGTCACTCAATTAACATGATCATGTTAATGTTTATGTTTATTAGCCATTTATAAAAGTATTACATATTATTAGCAGTGAATGTGTTAAATAAGTTTTTTTGGATGGTGAGGAAGCTAGTAATGTTCTTTGTAAACTTCCTTCGTTATTAGCTTTATTTCACGTTGCTCATGTTTTTTTCACCAGTAAAATTATATTCTAAGCATGCCTTCTAAATCTAATCTAGACCTTATTTTCTGTAATAACGTTACAGTAGACTCCCTCTTATCCGGACACCTTTTAACCGGACATCGGTTTAACCTGGACTACACTCGGCGGAAATGACATCTCTTTAACCGGACACTTTTTATCAGCACATTGGTTTAACCGGACTAGATAGGTAGGAAGTGGGTGGTACTGAAACGACTGTTCTCGTGTGAAAGATTTGAGACCAGTGATCACGTTTCTAGATACAATGCTCTCCTAAATTTAAGTCGAATATCATAGTAAACAGTCCGTTTTAATAAGTTTTTGGGGACGTCGGTTTAACCGGAAAACCGTCATCCAGACTGGCCTTGGTCCCAAAGAGTCCGGATAAGAGGGAGTCTACTGTACCATCAACACACTTACCCAATTTTTGTCACACTGTGCACAACAAATTCTAGCTTACAAATATAATTTACAATTTTACTAACTTATGATAAACATTTAGTAGTAATGAAACATTGGGACAAAAATTATGGTTTTAAAAAAAAAAACTAATTAAAATGATTAACAAGTATTTCTGCATTTCAGACTATGGTGATAATGTCTTTGTACACCAGTGGCCACTCTGAAGCACATTTCCCTTCCCCAGAGAAGTTCTGGCCCTCACGATGGCTCAGGAGTGGTGAGGACGGGAGGTTGAGAGGGGTGAATGACAAGTCCGCATCTCTACCCTTTGCAATTGGAGGGCGGGCTTGCATAGGCCGTCGAGTCGCCATGGCTCAGATTGGTCTTACTTTATCTGAGGTAATGAAGATAGCATGTGAGAGGATAGTGCGAGCAAAGACAAAAACTTCTCCCAATGCTCTTGCGTTCTCTGAATACGTAGACTATATTGAATTAGATATAGCAGCAATTTTTGCAATCGCTGTACAAAAAAAAAATCTATCGTGTTGTGGGAAGAATTCTTGTCTGCAGGTGCATACCACTCATCACTCTAAAAGGTTCAATCTACATGTGTGTACAAATACTAAACTTTTGTTGATAGTGAATTATCAAACTTGGTATGAATTCTAAGCCTGATAATAAGCTTAGTCTGATTGGTCTTTAATTAAATTGAAACTTTTGTAAACCTCCTCATTAACCGGTAGAATTTTGATAATTTTGTTGTTAATCTTTCTAATTTCAGCATTAAGTGGAGCAAGAATAGTACGGTATTTCAAATCTTCAAATTGAGCCCTTGCAATTTGGACACCAAATGCTTCTTCAATAATATCTCTCATCAGCTGACATGGTGACATTATACGTTTGAGGAACTTTAGTGCGCTAACATTCTTCTATATTTTGAGCAGCGATTCGTTTACGCTCCTGCTCATCATGATCCTGTTGTTGTTATTGAGGGCCTGTTGTTCATCAATATTCCTCGGCCATCACATCAAAAATTATTCCTCTACTTTTATTTTTGGATGCTCGACTTGGCTGAGGTTCTTAGATGTTTGGCGAGATGTATGAGCTGGCTGGAACTGGTTCAGTTGTAATTTGTTTCCTGACAATCGATTGTAGCTTCTCTCCCTTACATATTCTAAATGTATTTTTGCTTTGGAGGTCTTCCGCATTTCATTCTTAATCTTGAAAATTAACCTTGAAAACATTAACACTAATATGTATGTACCAAATAAACCAAACTAAATATAGCTACTCTTTCAAAGGTTTTGTCCAAATAAAGTTATTTTTGTTTACACATCAAATCAAATTATGACATAAAAAATAACTTGTATCAGATATTTTTGTTAATTGCAGCCACAAAAAGGTATTGACCGTAACATGGGCACTTTCAAGGGCTGTAGGAAAAAAACTAGATTTATCCCAGCCTTGTGACCCACCCCAATCGATTTCTCGTGGCCAAATACCCCACACAAAACCTTGAAAGGAAAAAAGTTTGTACACACGCTTGTTTTAGAGTGCAGTATACATGATTACTTGGATTGATACACAATGACATTCAGGTAATATGTTTTTATGTTTACAGATTCTGTCACAATTTCATGTGGAAGTGAAGAAAGAAGTAGATATGGTGTTGATGTTGGTTACAGTTCCATCTGAGAATATACCTCTTTTTCTGACTCAAAGAAAATTGTAATTTTTACTATACATGATAGGTTTGAGTGCTGGACAAAAGATATTTTTATAGCAGTCAGATTTAGCTCAAAAACATTTTTATTTCATTTTGATTTGTATCCAAAACTGAAAATTTAGTCTAAAAGCCATTACAAATTTGGGACAGTTTTGGCTTTTTACTGGCGAGTCTCTGCAGTAAAAAAAAATGTTATTACTCTATTACTGTTTTCAACAACAAAAACCTGTCTGTGTACATTTTTTAAATGCTAAGGCCACAAGCTCTCAAACCCTTCAAGGAAAATTGTAACTTGTTCAGAAATGGTAAACGTTCCATTCCTAATATTCATATACTATGCTATGCTTCCATATCATTTGTGCTCCTAAGCTCTTAACAGTTTCACCTTTGAAGCCAATTATTTTATAGAAGCTTAGGGTCTTTACTCTTCATCATTTTAATACTCCTTTTTTCAACTAGTATAAATTAGTTATAACAAGAAAAAAAAACACAGGATACCAGGTGCCTTTAAGCTGATGCTTACCAATAAGACTGAAATAATGTGATTCTGGGACATTCAATGATACTGGTTATTATATCATATGTTAATGTTACATACAAATATAACTATTAATAAGTGAATTAATACGTCTAATTTATACTTCCTGTCATCCTGTTGACCTAATTATTATTACTAGTTAACCGCCCGTGCTTCGCCACGGGAATATTGTCAGCAATAAAAGAAATAATAATTAACAAATACTGTTTATCTTTGTATTTTATTTAGGGGTTGTTTAATTTTTTACATGAAATAGAACTGATAGTTTGCCTGTATAAACTATTTTATGTTAATCAAACCAAAATATGATTTTAACCAAATGAATGTTTTACCTAATAAGCAGCTATTTATGCTATTTAGATAATTTGCTCAAGTATATTCCTATATTCGTCGTTTTTTTCCCCATTACATTTGTTGTATGGAATAAAGATAGTCACTTATCCTACATGCAAATCACGCATCAGCAGTTGGTCGCATTTCACGAATCTTTGACCCATACTGTGAGTAAAAGCTGTGTTTGCGTCGTATATATAAAGTTGGGCATACTTTGTTCAATGTTAGAGGGTATTAACGGTCCAATTTGATGGAAAAGGAGTCGTGGATTTTAAAACTATCTAGACTACCACTACCAGAAAGATGTTGATTTAAGTGAGACTTGGAACTGGCCATTTCAAATGCAGATTAGTAGTAGTCATTTTGGGGGTTCTAGGACAGAGGAGGGAGGAGTGTAGACCACGTGGGTTGAGGTAGGTAACCTCACTTTGCCTAACCTAACCTAACCTTACAGACAGAGACTGATCCTCTGATTTGGATGACCTTTTTTTTTGTGTAGATATAAAGAACGTTAAATCAGTTCTCATTTGGTATACTTGTCGTATAATAGGATCTCACGGCTGAGATTGAAAACGACGACAGCTTTTGAATCTCATTTTATATAGGACCACCAATAGGTTCTCAACTGCACAAAAATGGCGCCGATTGCATCATTCGGTGCTCATGTTTTCACTAGAGGATTTGTATGAAGATGCAGTATTTCGATCTCAATGTATACTGACACGCCATTTGAAACTCATTGTTTTCATGTTGATTTTTACGTGTCTTCTGAGTGACTCAGCACGTGGTTCCGACCACGCCAATCCTTCGGAGGCGAAAAAATATTTTTTTGTGTTTTTCAGTTATTTTGCGTATTTTATTTCTGTTCTATTAGTTTATTGTTGTAAACTCGATCTGACCATGGCTTTTGGGTATCAAAGCAAGTTTTTCGTTGACACCGTTGTTGTAGTTTCTAATCATGACGTCTGTCAAAACGTTGTTGTACCTGCATGGGAGATACAATTTTCTTAGATTGCCACAAGGGTCTTCTTCGACAGTAGCGGTTACCGAGGGACCGTATCTCGTCACGACTCGCTGCAATTCCACTATTCTGTAGGGATGCTCATGTCGCAGCTCTTCGATTTTAGTGTATTTGGGTGCTTGGCACGCATTAAGCAAATCTACCAATTGCGCCATGTCTCTCACTTATATAAATGCGCAGTTACATCACCTTGATTATGTTCCTTGATATGTCGTAGGCAAACGCGTTTTCAGAGACTACGATGACATATGCGGTAGTGCCTGAATCGGCCGATGGTGATGCGATTGCGTTTGTGAAATCGAATTCTATTTGAATGTCACTTCTAGAACGGTCTGTATTCATCGGATGAAGATGTGTGTCGACAACATACAGTGGGTAGTGTGAAATAAACTCGCTCGGGTCAATGATCATTGAGCTGTCATCGAAATTCACCTTACGATATCTCATGAATTGCTCGTAAATCACTCTCCAACGTCCCTCAAGGATTGCAGCGTTTTGCAGTTCTTGAGGGTAACGTTGACCATTTATTTTAACTGCAAAGTTCTTTATATTTTCGCTGTCAAATTGCGCTGGGTTCTTTTTCTGATCATTCGTGCGGTTAGTTTGAAAGCACATGATTACGAATCTAGGGTTGTATACGTTTCTATAAACGTTTGTAATGTCGAATGTGTACGTAGATCCGAACACGCCCTTTTTGTCAATACATTGCCACTGATAATAGTTGTAGACCAACTCGTCTTTTTCACTAAGTTTTGTTAGACCGTCGATTAGTTGGATTTTGCTAGTTGACGTATATTCCACTATGGGAACTCTGAGAACGAAGGAAGTGATTTTCACTTTGCCGTCCTCAGGATCGGTAGCTGCGGCAGCGGTTCCTTTCCAATGGTATAGAGCGTCGTTATCTTCAGCTCTTGTGAATACAATCTCGAATCCACCTTTGTACATGGGGTATCGCATGTGGTCAAAGAATCCTAACCCGAGATGCGCTAAGGTTCCAATCGCTTCGAACTTGCCACCACCAAGCGAGTATCTTGATGCGAACCCACAGTTTTGCAAAGCGGGTTTCATCGATTGAGGATAGTTTAGAATACTTTTGATAGTGCTTGTAATTCCCGGATGATCGACCACATCGATTGTTGTGTTGTGTTTTTTCAGTTCGATTCTTGTAAAGAGGTATGGTATGAAATTGTCAATAAGGGCTATAGTGGCAGTCGCATCATATGCTTTACCATCGGATTTTTTTACTACCTCGCCGCAGATGTGATATTGAATTGCCGAGTCGTAAAACGTGTCTCCGTGATCGAGTTTGAAGATTGTGTAATTGTTTGGTGTGTTGAAATTCAACTCGGATATCGGCATAACAGCTCGGTACTCGCTTTTCACCACTCCGGTGGAGAAACGTTCGTACAGTGCTTCCATTGTCTACAATGACTTAATAACACAGAAGAACAAAAAAATATAAGCTAATTATTTTTATTTATTTTTTTAATTACATGGTATATATAGAGGCTTACTCATTGAACTCCTCTTCCATGTAAGCTTTGTGATCATCCAAAAACTGTTGCGAAACGATCTGGAATTTTTTAATGTATTCCCAATCGACTTTGTTTGCGTAGTCGTGTATGAACGACTCGGAAAGTATTTGGTGCTTGCTGACAGCAAACCACGCATGCTCAAAGTTTGGTGCCATCTCACGAAGAAAGCTCTCACTGAATTTTTGCCTCTTCAGAATAGGACCCCAGTCAACACGATGAAAGTAAATACGTAGCATATCGATGGAGAAATCATAGTGAATTGACAACAGGTCCCAGTTGAGGTACCTATCGAACTTCATAACGAGCTCGTCGGTGAGTACACCGTTCGGTGCCTTCGATTCGCGGGACAAGATTTGCCAAGCGTTGTCCATGCTGCTCACTTATATATACCCATTTTTTCTACAGGGATATGAACACGCGGATGTACCTAAACCCATCCCTAGTTTACGTTTCAACCACATCGCACCCGTGGTCGCGAGGGCTACGCTCCTCTCGTTAAGGTCCGCGTCGCTAGACGTCACTCTATCCCACGCTGCTTTCTGTAACGCTTTATCTGCGACCCATCTGTCTTCGGGCTTCCGGTGGTCTCTGTACCATATGTCGTGCTGTTTACACGCATCGTCTAAAGGGTTCACACCCTTGTCACCACGACCTAATCGTTCAGCGAGCTTCGTGCCTGGGCCACAGAAGTTGTACGTATCGAATTTCCAGTTACGTGGGGCGTGTAGTTCTACAGGTAATTTGTTGATGATGTCGTTCAACAATCCCGAGCCTTCTATCGCGCGTTCAGGCAAGGCTGACAAACATCGTACTACGTATTTGACCCCGTTCGGTTGGTCAATCAGTTCTTGCATACGGTCGGATATGAATTTAACAACAGATAGTTTTTCGTTGTGAAAATTGTTGTTGCCTGCAACCTCCTCTGCGTAAATAAAATTCAGACGATTGATGAGCTCGTTGAGGTCTTTGATGTAGCGATATTCAACCGGACCGTCATGGTAGCGTTTTAAACCGGATCCCGTCAATAGATCCCTGTCCATATCTTGTTCAATCAGATCGGTTGGTTTGATAACTTCGTCCCAAATAGGTTTTATCATTTTCCGCCATTTTTGTCCTGAACTAGATTTTGGACGTCGTGTAGTAGGGTCATTTTTCTGGAAGATAGAGTTTGTCATCAAAAGCATATCTTTATATGTCTGCCAATCGTTTGATGTGTATTCATTAGACTGCACAAACCCTTTCTTCGTTAAAAGTTTCCAAAGTCCTTCAGTACCTTTAAATCGTTTGTTGTTTACAATAATATCATCATAATCAAACCCAATCGGTTCAGAACCGATTTTTAGTTGCTCATCTATCTCATCGAAATAAATACCGAATTGAGAGTCACTAGCTCGTGGTAGATATTTAGCTCCGACCACTCCGAGATTAACGACCTTGGTATCCATCAACTGTTTTATTGATTGATCCGCAACTACTTCCATTTTTTCATCTTCATCATCATCGTCTTGAGTGGAACCAATATAACCGACTCGGTCCGGTGTACTAGAGACTGATGGTCTAAAGTTGCGTTTCATTAGCTGGTTGTATTTTTGTTTTTTCAGCATTTCTTTTGTTTTTTTCTCCAGTACCTCATCCTTTTCTTTTTTCTCTTTAATCGCTTTGGTGATAGCCTCGTACTTTTTCTCCCTTACACGTTGTTCCTCCATTTCCCTAACATGTATTTCTCCAAACTGGTTTTGTAGAGTGGTTTGCAGTTGCTCCAGCTGTCTAGCTTTTTCAACTGTCAGAGGTTCATCTCGCGTTTTACTTGTTACTCGTGTTGGGGGTTTTGTGATGTCTTGTATTGCATGTGTATTGGGATGGGAGTTTGTAATCTCCTCCAGTTTCTTAGCTCGTTCTTTCTTTTCCTCCTGTTCCGCTGTCCGAAATTTTTTGACGAGATTCTTTTCTAGAGTCTCAAGTCGCTTAGCTTCTTTTGTATCCATTGTGCACTTAGTAACACATAAACACGACGTAAGATTCACATCGTTATTCCAACATGTACATGTGAAACGTTTATTGATTGTAGAAACGTTCTTTACATAAATATAACGTTTATTTAGTGTAGAAACGCTTTTGATAAAAACAGAACGTTTATTTAGTGCAGAAACGCTCTTTAATTTGAAATATCGTTTTTTAGCATAAACACAATCATTTAGTGTAAATACGCTCTTACGTATAAAATATCGTTAATGTAACAAAATACACGTATTTGATGCAAAAATGTTTTTATTAGGGATATAGCGTTTCCTTAAACATACATCTATATTTACCTAGATGCGTTTTTTTAGTAGTGTCTATTGACATAAAACCGTGAGGTTCCGCCCAACACTTTTTACACATGCCTACAAACTCTTGGTATATCATATCAGATCCAACGAAGTCGTTGTATATCTTTTGTGTATAGTGTTTGTTTTGTGTGAATATACACAAAAGATTAACGTTATTCCTTATTACTTGCATGTCTACCCGTCCGTAGCTCTGACTTAAATAAATGCAAGATACCTGTTTATGACGCCCTCGTATGAAATAGTCTTTTATTTTTGTTTGTTCTTCAAAAAGACAATCGTCAAACACCACCAAAGAATTGGACTTACATTCGTCTAGAGGTATCAAGTCACTGCAGTTTGAGTAAAAGTATGCAATAGTTGTGCCGAGTGCGTGCTCTACTTTTTCATAGTGTTTACGTAGCTGTGTGTATGCTGGCTGATCAATGGATCGGCTGAATACATAAAGGTTTTTGAACTTTACACCCTTTACGTTATAGATAAAATTGAGCAATAGGTTTGTTTTTCCACACCCTGATGAACCGACTATAAGACATCTTAATGGGTGTGGTAATAGATTATTTATGGATCCTTCTTCGATGCAGTACACATTGATATCCATTTTAGGACTTATATAAATCTAAAACTATTACACATTCAACGTTTTCGTTTTGAAGCAAGCGATTGTTTTGATCTCGGAGAGTGATGTCGATTCGGTTGATTGTTTGTAAACCATTCCTCAGAGGAACGTACAACTTCTCCGTTGGCACTTCATATATCTTGTAGCCATGTGCTACATTCAGGAAGAACGTGTACAACAGTTCTGCTTCCACATGTTTGTGTCTGTGCTCATCGTGGCTGATGTAACTGTGCTCTACGATGTTGCAGTGTACCTCTATGGCGTCCACAGCCCTGAAATTGGGTGCGTTTGGCGCAGTCAGTAATGTATTGGCATCGTAAAACGATTTCTGTTCGGTTAATGGTTTCTCTCCTGGACTTGAGAATCCGAGGAATGAAGCCGCCTTTTCGTCGAGATAAAATTTCAATGGACTTGTTATTGCGATACGATTGTTTTCTCTTTTGATTGAAAATTGGTTGGTAGGTACGTTAAGTTTCAATGCAGTAATATATTCGTTGATTTTTTCATTTAGTTTTTCAATAGTCCAATATCCCTTTGAGATCGTAAATGGCGTCGAGATCAGATAAATATCGCTGTCCCAAAAATATATGTTACCCGGTTCTAACACGTTGTTTATGTAGTTCTCCGACATAAAGCTAACTAGAGCTAGTCGGCACTTGCTACCATCACTGAGGCGGATAGGGTGCTCTGGATGGAATGTCATTTGGCATCCTTTGCCCCGGATTTTCACTAGCGGCATCTTTGTCACTTATATCATTACCATTTTGTGCTCTCTTTAAATTTATAATGTCATCGTGTATATTACCCAATATCATGTTAAGGTTTGTCTGGAATGTAACCAGTTTTTCATTTAACTCGTTTAGTTCTTTCCTTACGATCACGTCATAAAGATCTTTTGATCTGCTGACTTTTCCTATTCTTCGATGTCCGTTTAAATTCACCACCTCAGGGTTCGAAACATCGAATGTTTTTGTTAGTCTATCCACCGTTGATTTTACAGTATCTAATTGATATTTGTTTACAACATCATGTTTATCAATTGCATTGGAGACGCTAACTAAACGTTTGCTTTTAAAACCAATGAAATTATCCTTGATGTTCATCGTAGATTCTATTTTACCAAGTCTATTGTTTAATGCTACATAGCTCGAATCGTCGTTAGGTGTTCTCATCATTTTCTTCATTTCCGAAAGACCTGATTTTACAAGATCTCTAATTTCAGACTTTGTTTGTGATTCGATTTGTTGACGAATTGAGCTTTGGTAGTCCACCTCGTCCCCGAATCTATTGAACATGAATCTTCCGCTGCCACCACCAACTCCATACGTATTTATCATCCCGTATAGCTCTTATGATATCATCCCAAGGCTCATCACTAGAGTTTCGACGTAAAACCTCCAAACACAAATGACCACAGATAGGTGGATCATTATACTCTTGAACAGCAATGTCATTATAGAAGAGATCGTTTGAACCTAAATAGTCTATTAGTTCTAGTGGTGGGGGTGCGTTTCCAAACGAATCGAAATAGAACTTTTTGTTTTTGTCTTTAACATAACAAGTCCAATGGGTTCCAGAAGAATCGATATTACCCAGATTCAAGATTCCACATTCAAACTCCATAGGGGCTTCGGGTAATATCTGTCTCATAAACACTCCTCGAAAGCCACGGATGCCTAATTGGTTAGCATAAAGCTCTATTTCTCCCAGTGACATAGGTTCAAACGATCTTACGGGTTTTTTAAAAGAGAGTCCAGCTTGTTGTTGATGCATCGCTTAAGGCCGGCTCCCTTGGGGTCTTTTTCAATTATTGAATCTAGCTCGTTATCGATCAGGTTTTTCAACCACGGCACGAATCGGTTCTTGAGAATCGGTGCCACCTGATGTCGTATCAATGGAGATATGAAACGTTTTCCATATGGCACCTTTGATTCAACCATTTCCAACATCTCTTTCAAAAGACCACCCTCTTTGTTTTTCAAAAGCTGGTCGTAGCTCACAGCCAGACGTAGACCGGTTTTGTTCCGGATAGCTTTTTCAACAGCCTTGTGTTGTGCTTCGTTAAGCAGTATATGATCCGCTCCACGTGAGAGGCTATCATTAGTTAAACCAATTATAGCAGTTCTACGCTTTTTAAACGCGATGCGTAGCTTACGCTTCTGACCGTCGGACAAGTGAATTCTGTGTCTGTGCAGTTCACTCATTTTTAAGTGTTTCCCACTTATATAAGAGCCAATGGAAATCTACTGTATGAAATGCAAAAGGAAAACCACGTCTCAAGACAGTGGGGAGTATGTCAAAACCGTTAACAACAAATGGCGTTTAAATACGACATGCAATATTTGCGGTCAGCGTAAAGGCGCCTTCGTCAAAGTTCCTAAGCCCAGTATGGCCGCCAAGGAAGTACATAGACCAGTGATCAAGCACTTTCCTCGACGACGTATTGTTACCCTAGGTATAGACGATCTGTGGGCCGCAGATCTGGTTGTCATGAGAAAGTATGCCAGTGAGAATGATGACTATAATTATATGTTGAATGTGATTGATACCTTTTCAAAATTCGCCTGGTCAGAGCCGTTGATGACCAAACGGGGTGCAGAAGTAGCGGAATCGTTTATGCTCATATTGAAGCGAGCAATTGACGTCAACGGTCACACCGCTCCCAGACTGTTACACACCGATAAGGGCAAAGAATTTCTTAACCGTGATTTTAAGTCAGTTTTGCAATCGTACAACATAAAAATGTATCATACTGAAAATGAGGAAAAGAGTGCAATCGTTGAGAGGTTCAATCGTACGTTGAATGAAAAAATGAAAGTCATATTTGAGACCCGAAATTGTTTTCGGTGGTTGGACATAGTTCAAGACCTGTTACATCAGTACAACAACAGTGTCCATCGTACGATTCGTATGAAACCTGCAGAGGTTACTAATGCGGACGTACCTAGATTGCTTGAGAGGTTCTCCAATATTCCTCACACACCTAGAAAAATAAAATTTCAACTAGGAGACAGAGTGAGGATTGTGACAAAAAAAGATACGTTTGCCGATAAATACAGTCGCAATTGGACTAGAGAGATATTTACTATATCCAAAGTGCAAGACACCTTTCCAATAACCTATAGAATCAAAGATAAAAGTGGTGAAGAAATAATTGGATCTTTTTATGAGAAAGAGCTACAAAAAACCTTGTGCACACCAGGACAATAAATAACAACAGTGTAAAACACGAAAAAAATATATTTTACAGGAATAGTTTTTTTACATTTTTTTATGTACATTCAGTAGGAATTCTTCTATGTCCCCAGGGTAGCGTCTTTATTCCATCTCGAAGAACACACCGTTTGTCGTCCTTTGGCGAAAGTGATTTCTTGAATTGTGTCATACTATAAACATCGTGCAGGTGGCTTCGGATGCTGTTGATTTGTCTGTACACATCTTCGAGAGTCTTCAAACATCTGCGATAGTCATCTATTGTGATTTCATTTTCCACCACTGATTTCTTGATTCCTTTAGCCTTTTTAGATGTTTTTATACAATTCAAACCTTCCTCTACGTCAGTGGCATACATTTTTGACTTCAGACCAACGTATTCAACCATGATCAGACCTTCCAGCTCATCTTTCATTTTTCCGAGAACCTTTTTGTTTACTCGAGGCATACCAAAAGGGTTGGCACTTTGATATGCACTCGTGTCGAACTCGTCAATCATTTCTTTCATGTCCATGTACCAGTCTTCTGTATATATGATGTAAATCAGTGAGTCGGTATCAGTATAGGCGAGTATGACCCGATCACCATATCTGCTCTTCATCACTTGATAGTGGAAACGGTATATAAGGGTTTTCGACACATCTAGAATAGCCGCCCCCACGTAAATCGGTTTGTTGAAAAGAAGTGATGTTTTGGTCATGTGCACAGCTGCAAGATGGTCCGTAAATATTTTCCTACTCTTGAATGTAGGTTTGGCAATGAATTTATCCGCCTGTCGTTCGTCGGTTACCAGACGAACGTCCACTCTATTCCGAAGGTTTTCCATAGTTTTCCCAAATACCGCGTTATTCATAAGCTTGTAGAAGTCAATTTCGAATTTATTTTTTGCCTTGGTCCTCATGTTAGTGTTTAAATCGATGTATGGTTTCATCCACGGTTTTTGAGAAAACTCAAGAACCCGATGTATATTTTTTAGTTTCATTCCGAGGTTGAGATACTGTTTTAAATTTCTGTAGTGTACAACGTATCTAGATCGGTCGTACAAAGTGGTGACCAGTTTGGATATTTTTGACCCAGGTGGAATCATGTGGTGAGGTGCGAGTGGAAAGTCTGCATGGTGGTCATGAATTTCTTCGGGATACTCGAGGTCAACTTCGAGAATGTAGCCGGTGGCTGCGTCATCACTGATGTCTAAAACATTTATTTCAGTATCTTTTCGCCATCTAAAGTCACCGAATGGCATCGCCTGCGACATAGCCCAAGCATATAGGTTATTCGCATCTAAGTACACCAGGTAGCTAGGTTCTTTGTTCTCATCGAAGCCTTGACTCATATACTTGTTGTTGGCTCGAGCTTGTCTCAAGCAACACTGCGAAACACCTCCACGAATTCCTTTTTCAACCATTAGAATCATATCGAGGTCGGTTAGTAACTGGAGCTCTACATCAGTGAGTTTCAGCATCGCCGACCAAGCTAATCCGGGAGCTGTGAAGTACCACGCTGGGTCGAGACTATATGTTTGAAGGCAAACGTCTCTGAAGTTGTCCATAATGTCTGCCAACTGGAGGACGTCAATCTTGTTGTAAAACAATGTGTACTCTCTCATATCTTTGATGTTGAACTCATTCCAAACCTTTTGAGCATGCTCATAATCTGATTCTGATACATCACACTTATTTAATTTGTTTTTGAAATCATGAAGTTCCGGCAGAGTTGTCATATCATATTTTGTTATGTTATCCATAAAGTCATAGGGATAAACCCCTTTTCTTGTTACCAACTCTATCTGTGATGATTTGACAAATCTCTTTGTATGCTCCAACTGATCTGTAGTTAAATTGTTAATCAATTGGTCTAAACTTGCACTTAAAAACTTAAAAGAGTCCAAAAATCTCAGTTCCAACCCTCCCCTAACTTGAACGGTGAATGATATGTATCGCTCATCGTTTTGGGGAATCACTTTGAGTTTCTCACCTTGTCGTCCTATTTCTTTGATGAACTGATGTATGTCGTAGCCAGAAAGGTTGTGCAAGAAAACAGGAATAAATTTGGGTTTAGTAAACAATAAGTTACATTTGGAATGGGCAGGGCCTCGATACAAACCGGTGAGGTGGTCGTGATCCCTCACTTTGTCGGTTTCATTGAGAGGTTCCTGACAGATGTGACAGGTTACCGCTTCTTTATGTCTACGTATCTCTTCTTCCTCCAATGGTGTCATTGGAATGATCTTTTCGTAGATTTGTTTTATCTCTACGGCCTCCTTTTTCAACGCCTCGACAAACTTTCGTCCAGCATCTTCCCCGAAATATGTCGTTGGAGGCTTTTCACTGCCAGAGATATAGTAACAGAAACTTATAGCTTCGTGTTTCTGATAGCTGTATGTGTACGATCTCTTAGCACCGTTTTCATCAACTCCCGATGGTTCACAAGTAGAAATCGGGAGGAGCATGCTCTCCAGATCGGCATAAATGACATAAGGAACTTTCATTGATTTATTGTGTTCTGTAAATCTTATTTTGTCATTTTTTCCAGCGGTAGGGAGCTTTATTTTTAGAGCATCATGTCTAGAGCAGTCCTCCATATGTGTCTTCAAATTGTCTTCGTTATGAAAGTGCTGAAGACAACGTCTGCATATATAGCATTTTCCTTTATGTTTTGTAGCTTGACTGCGAACTAAACGAGATAGGTTTTTGATTAGACAGTAGTGTGAGTTCGTTCCATCTTTAACCAACAACAGGTCTACATGCACGGGCTTTTCTTCATCTGTTACACACAAGGGAAAAACATCACTATTTTCTTCAAGACCGTATACATTGATCGATAATCCTGCACGCTTTTCAAATTTTTTTACATCAGTCAGTTTGACTGGAAAATCTATCCCATCAAATAACTTGAGAAATCCATCTACGTAAGCAGTGTAGCTGTCGATCCGCTCCGGGTGTACGTTTGAAGGGTGGAGTGCTGCTAGACAACACCAAATGAAACAACGCTGATCATTGTTTTTTATGTTTACAACAGCACGTTTCAAGCGAATTTTTTCTGGCAGGGCTATGTAACTAGACCCTTTCAAAGGCTTAAGTCGGTTGATATGTAAAAAAAGACATTCAATCGTTTTCATGTTCCAATTGGAGCCTTTGTGATTAAAACTTTCCATCTCAGTCAATAGTTTTTGTTTTGCCTCATTTAACAAATCTGATAGATTAGAATCTTCGTAAATGATGATGTTTTTCGTTTTGAATTCAAAATCAGATTCGACTTTTTCCGTAATCCCTTTAGCGAACTTTGCCTTAAGGATAAGTTGGATTTTCAATGAAGTTCCCTCATCACGAACCTTTTCAATTATAAGTTTTTTGGAATCTTCGATAAAAGTTTCAACACTTTTGTAACCATTTACTTTGACATTATTGATCTCAAACGTCTTCATTCGACCTCTGAACGCCGTTTTAGATTGGATGATTTCAAGATTAGGTGGTGGCGGAGGCTTACGTGGGACTTGCACTATGATGGATGGCTGAACTATGATGGATGGTTGAACTATGACGGATGGTTGGTTTAGTTGCTGTTTTTGTATCCACGCCGCTTGATGAGCTCTACTCCCAGTATGACGGGCCCAGTTTTTCCTAGTAATACTGAGGTGACATACATCACAGAATTTTAATGTTTTTGTATCGACTCTCCTGACAGGTAGAACCTGCACGACATCCGAAACATCTTCTTCCTGCTCTTGAATGTCCATCATCTCACTAGCACCTTGTAGTTGTTCCGAAATATCCAACTCACTATGTTGGGCTCGACGACGCTTCGGTGATGTAGGACGGGTCTCGTTATCGCTGTCGTTGTCAGTAGGAAACGACCGCTTGGTAGCACTTTGAACAACCGGTGACACATGATGTTCTCCGTCAGAGACCGAGGCAACATCCAAACGGTGTTCTTCCCTAGCACCTTGTTGTTCCTCAATATCGTCTTTGTAACGTTGGAGCCAACGTCGCTTCGGTGGTGTAGGAAGGCTGTCGTCATCACTCTCGTTGTCACTAGGAAACGATCGCTTCGTAGCACTGACACTAGCCATCACCGCAAATCCTCGTCACACTTATAAATGGTTGAAAACTTACTTTTCACGCACTACACAATTTCAAAGACTCGAAAAATAGCACCTCTCACAACCACCTCTCAGAGAAGACTGACGCAAGACCGCGCGGGCTGTTGCACAATCGTCGAAACACATGACCATATATGGTAATGTTCTCGAACGTTCCAAGATGATCACGTGACCTATCACGTGGCATTTCCTTTTATGGTAATGTTTCTAGAACATTCCATGATCACATGATCCCAAGACAAGTGACGTCACTAAACACGGAACGACTCAACTCAAAAGACACGTACAAATCAACATGAAAACAATGAGTTTCAAATGGCGTGTCAGTATACATTGAGATCGAAATACTGCATCTTCATACAAATCCTCTAGTGAAAACATGAGCACCGAATGATGCAATCGGCGCCATTTTTGTGCAGTTGAGAACCTATTGGTGGTCCTATATAAAATGAGATTCAAAAGCTGTCGTCGTTTTCGATCTCAACCATGAGATCCTATTATACGACAAGTATACCAAATGAGAACTGATTTAACGTTCTTTATATCTACACAAAAAAAAGGTCATCCAAATCAGAGGATCAGTCTCTGTCTGTAAGGTTAGGTTAGGTTAGGCAAAGTGAGGTTACCTACCTCAACCCACGTGGTCTACACTCCTCCCTCCTCTGTCCTAGAACGTGAGTTTCAAATGGCGTGTCAGTATACATTGAGATCGAAATACTGCATCTTCATACAAATCCTCTAGTGAAAACATGAGCACCGAATGATGCAATCGGCGCCATTTTTGTGCAGTTGAGAACCTATTGGTGGTCCTATATAAAATGAGATTCAAAAGCTGTCGTCGTTTCTGTAAAGTCGTCCAAATCAGAGGATCAGTCTCTGCCTGTAAGGTTAGGTTAGGTTAGGCAAAGTGAGGTTACCTACCTCAACCCACGTGGTCTACACTCCTCCCTCCTCTGTCCTAGAACCCCCAAAATGACTACTACTAGTACCTACTACTCAAAATACTAAAAATGTATGGAATAAAGATAGTCACTTATCCTACATGCAAATCACGCATCAGCAGTTGGTCGCATTTCACGAATCTTTGACCCATACTGTGAGTAAAAGCTGTGTTTGCGTCGTATATATAAAGTTGGGCATACTTTGTTCAATGTTAGAGGGTATTAACGGTCCAATTTGATGGAAAAGGAGTCGTGGATTTTAAAACTATCTAGACTACCACTACCAGAAAGATGTTGATTTAAGTGAGACTTGGAACTGGCCATTTCAAATGCAGATTTGTACCTATTATATTTTACTCAAATAGTTTTTTGTCTCTTTTGACCCTTAATACTTTTTTTATAGTCGCTGTTGATAAGATTTTCTATAAACTCAAAATGTTGATAAGGAGTTCATTTTACCTTCCCCTTGTGACAACACAAGGACAAAATATTTGTGTCCCAGTTAGTCTGTTCTGACTCAAAATTCATAGATTTGCAGTACTGACAAATCCAATCTAACGACCCCAATTCAAAAAAATTGGTATTTTTTAAAAGGGACTTCCAGAGCACATTTAACACCATCACTGCTCTTTACCTTTTTAGTTTGATGGTTCTCTAGATGTTTTTTTTTTTTTTAGATCTGTATGTCTCTTTACGCCCGGTTAATGATTACCTTTTCTTTTTCTTTTTGTACTTTTCACATCCTGGGGATAATGATAAACGCTATAATGACCCGAGTCAACATTGCCATTAAACATCAAGTCAGATACTTCTTCGCCAGAACCGAAATCGTAAGTCACAGATTCTCAAGCAACTTCCCTGTGTACTTGAACAAAAATTCACTGATAAATAATTGTAGTTTCCAAATATCCCAGTGTACTCGACATCTCGAGAAGGTAAAATTTGAACGTCGAACACTGATCTTGAGTAAGATTAATCACTTACGATAAAATGTTTGTATGTTTACCAATCATTAGCAATTATCTGTACAACTTGCAAGCGGATTTCCCTATGATTGTTCAGGTGGCTATAGAGAATAAATTATATTGATCAAAACAATAAGTTTCCGTCCCCTACTATGGGTATTATTTCACATTCCATACCCAAACTTAAACTCAATTACCACTTTCCTTCAGATCACTTTGCAGGAAAACTAAAACATTTTTGTGTCCCAGTTAGTCTGTTCTGACTCAAAATTCATAGATTTGAAGTAGTGACAAATCCAATCTAACGACCCCAATTCAAAAGAGTTGGTATTTTTTTGTAGGGACTTCCAGAGCACATTTAACACCAACACTGCTCTTTACCTTTTTAGTTCGATGGTTCTCTACAATTTTTTTTCGTTCTGTATGTCTCTTTACACCCGGTTAATGATTACCTTTTCTTTTTCTTTTTGTACTTTTCACACCCTGGGGTTAATGATACAGTTTTATAACGCTTATAATGACCCAAGTCAACATTGCCATTAAACATCAAGTCACATACTTCTTCGCCAGAACCGAATGGTAAGTCACAGTTTCTCAAGCAACTTCCCTGTGTACTTGAAAAAAAAAATTCACTGATATATTGTAGTTCCACGTATCCAAGCGCACTCGCCATCTCGAGAAGGTAAAGTTTGGTACCACTGAACGTCTAACACTGATCTTGAGTAAGATTCGTCACCTACTATAAAATGTTTGTATGTTTCCCACTCATTAGCAATTATATGTACAACTTGCGAGCGGATTTCTCCATGATTATTCCGGTGGCCGTAGAGAATAAATTATTATATTGATCAAAACAATAAGTTTCCGTTCCCTACTATGGGTATTATTTCACATTCCATACTCAAACTTAAACTCAATTATCATTTTCCTTCAGATCACTTTGCAGGAAAACTAAAATATTTCAAAAATAAGTTAACAAATACACTTTCCTTGATCAAAATCGTGTGCTTATAAACAGAAACTCCAAGTTTAATAATTGCACACTGAAAGTGAGGTTATAAAAATAATAACAAATGTCTGACAAACATTAAACAGCTGACGAATAATTTATAAACTGTTTATTATATTCTCCAATAAGAATTGTATTGACTCGACCTTTAAAGGGCTGTAGGTCGTAGCCCTTAGAAAAAACGTAAATTCGAAGGAAGTTCGGCAAATCTACACACTATCCCCTTTAATTTGACACATAGATCTTGAGGATCGGTCCACTAATTACTGAGAAAACAGTGTTACAACTGTGTATTAAATATATAGATTCAATATTCAAGCTTTTGGTCAGGTAAAAAATAACATTCATAATAGTATATTTTTCTCAGGGGCGTAAAGTCACTCTTTTCCACACAAGCTCAAGTTTAACGACCTCGGCTTCGTTTCAGTCGGAAAATGAGCGAGTGTTGAAAAAACACTTTTTGTGATGAACAATGTTACCATTATTTGAGCAAACTAAGTACAAAACAAAAATACTTTTTCCTGCAGTCACCTGACAAAGTGGCCTTCCTTGCACTGATTACTGCACAGAAAGTTGTTAATTGCTGCATCTACTTACTTTTGCCGCACACTTTTTTTTTGCACACCAGTATTCCAACCAAACAACAAAAAACAGTGTGCTTTTATCATCGCAGATATGTTTACATTACAACAAAGTTATTAGTTTTGATTCTGCCACACAGTATAATGCAAATACACAAGAGATTTTCATTCAAATAAGCAATAAGTACGATGGAGATTATTTGTCTGTATAATTCTCATGGGTCTGTATAATTTGCATGGTAAGTGTGTGTAACTGTGTTTTTAACAGTAGATTTAAAGACCCACAATGTTCTCTGAAGTATTCTTTCCATGTTGTGAAGCACGGGCATAACAACTTGTTTGGATCCTGTTGACAACAATACAACTATGAACTACGATCGATTGAAAACAAAATACCCCCGCCGCAGCAAACCTGAAGACTAAGCGAATTTCCATTTGCCTGATTTGATTTTTAATTAAATCTATTCAAATAACATTATGTTTAACGAGTACCTAGGTTTGCTACCTACAGGGTAATAAAGTGTGTTTTGTAGCAAAATATTAATCTCTTGGTATAAAATAAATAGACTGGCAAAGTTTGATCCAAATATATGCATAAACAAGCAAACTACAACAGTTTACTTATTCTCCATAAGAATAACATGGGACTTTTTCATTTACAATTTTCTCCGTAACCAATAACCATACAAAAACACTTCAGTATACTGAATTATTAGTTTTTTTTTAAGCACTTTAAAATGGTCTAGATGAAATTTGGGAAATTTTATGTTTTGAGGGTAAAAAATGAGAAAAACCAATTTTTACCCCATAAAACCCTGTTCCCATGGTCCGATCATGCTGGTTTGTGAACTCGTTCAAATAAACGTAGGTTTACACGTTTGTACCAAATTTCATTGAAATCGGATCATTTTTGCTCGAGTTATCGTGCTAACGGACACACACACACACACACACACATATATATATATGAATTTGAACGGATGGTGTTTTTGGCTTCTAGGGACATCAAAATGAAAAAGTACTGTAAATCGATCCCTGGACTAAGTCTTACCATGAGACCTACGGTAATAGCTTATTCCCTATACATATGGGAAATCCGATAAACAACCAAAACTTTCGATTCAACCAATTGCTTGCTATCAAAGTTAACAAGCGAGTAAAATGTACTGCAGACGTCATCTACTTCAGCAGATTTTTAATTCTTAGTATAAAAAAGAGCTACTTTATACCTGCAACACATGTTCTAAAACAGCCGTTTCTTCCCCGCCGTAGCAAACCTGTCGTACCTATAAGCAAATTTCCATTTGCCTGAATTGATTGTCAATTAAATCTATTTAAATAACATTAGGTTTAACGAGTACCTAGGTTTGCTGCTACAGGGACAGTAGATCCTCTCTAATCCGGCACTTTGTCACTCCGGCGTCTTTTGACGGGTGAGGTCTTCCGCGATTGCGGCAAAATTCTGATTATCTCC